ACTCTACTACACATACACACACATACTCTACTACACATACATACATACTCACTCTTATACTGACATACATACATACAGACATTCACACACATACTCTACTACACATATACATATATACACTGACATTAACATACTTTTCGGGCAAGTGATGTTAGGGAGCCCCAGTGAAGGGACGCACGGTGGCACACGAGGCGGTGGGTGGCCAGAACCACGCCCGGCCGCCTTTGTCTCCCAGGTGCTTCAGTTTACACACTGCCCCGAATACTCAGCAAACACACACATACATACTCATACACACTCATACACACCATACACACCCATACACCTACTGTATACGTACAAAACAAAGATGCCCCTACAGCCTGAACAGGCTGTAGGGCCATCACACACACAGACGTACACACACACACGTACACATACACGCAGACGTACACACACACTCATAGACGTGCACACAAGCAGACACGAATGCACACACATGCATACACCCTCAAAAGTAAACACAGGCACACACTCAAGACACCAATACACCCGCGTACAAAGGCACACATTCACATAAACACACTCATGTAAACACGCATACTCATACACGCATACTCATACACACACACACCCTCACCCCAACCTCCCTCTACCCTCACCCCCCTCACTCCTCACCCACCCTCACCTCCCTCATCCGTCTCCTCCTTCACCCCTCACCCCTCCCTCACCCAGCCTCACCTCCCTCCCTCACCCCCCTTCCCTCACCTCCCTCACCCACCCTCACCTCCCTCACCCACCCACCCTCACCTCCCTCCCTCACCCACCCTCACCTTCACCCACCCTCACCTCCCTCACCCTCACCTTCACCCACCCACCCTCACCTCCCTCACCCTCCCTCACCCACCCTCACCTCCCTCACCCACCCACTCTCACCCCCCTTCCCTCACCTCCCTCACCCCCCTTCCCTCACCTCCCTCACCCACCCACCCTCACCTCCCTCACCATCCCTCACCTCCCTCACCCACCCACCCTCACCCACTCTCACCTCCCTCCTTCACCCACCCACCCTCACCCTCCCTCACCCACCCACCCTCACCTCCCTCACCCTCCCTCACCCCACCCTCACGCTTCCTCACCCTCCCTCACCTCCCTCACCCCACCCTCACCCTTCCTCACCCTCCCTCACCCTCACCCCCTCATCACTTACACGCATTCAAGTCTCACAGCAGCAGTAGCAGCTGTTGCCGCTCACACCGCCACCGTTCCTGCTGCACAAAACACCCTGCTGCACTTTACAAACCACTACTACACACCACTAACATGTAACATGGATACTAACTACTACACTCCACAAACATGTAACATGGATAATGACAAACTACTACACTCCACTAACATGTAACATGGATAATGACAAACTACTACACTCCACTAACATGTAACATGGATACTAACTACTACACTCCACTAACATGTAACATGGATAATGACTAACTACTACACTCCACTAACATGTAACATGGTTAATGACTAACTACTACACTCCACTAACATGTAACATGGATAATGACTAACTCCTACACACCACTAACATGTAACATGGATAATGACTAACTACTACACTCCACTAACATGTAACATGGATACTAACTACTACACTCCACTAACATGTAACATGGATAATGACTAACTACTACACTCCACTAACATGTAACATGGTTAATGACTAACTCCTACACTCCACTAACATGTAACATGGATAATGACTAACTACTGCACTTTACCATCGACTCTGATACACTTTATACTAATGCTGCTGCTGCAAGCTGTGATCATTAGCGTCCTTGTGGACAATATAAACACGTTAACAATCCACCCCTCATCATCACACGTCTGTCCCGTCACTTAAACAATAAAAGTATTTCTTACACATCCATCAGCCACTCCGCCTACTACAACATGTTGCTTCTAAGCATGAACACGAGACCGGTTTCGCCATGCGGTGTCTCATCAGCAGAGTTCGGGTCTCTTGCACCAACGCTGGCGAAATACCAGACGTTTATAGACAAACATCCCCCCCCTCTCTGCTAGATAAGGGTCCTGGTTTTCACACTAAACTCTACAACACACGAGATTACCACGTGGAGAACACTGCAGAAGCGACACGTGTTGAACTCCCAGAGGGCCGAGTGGCTGATGGGATTTGTTAAATATACTTGCAAGTTTGTACGTGCTGATTTGGCTTCACTATTACTGTCGCTGTTGCTACTGCTGCGCCATTCAAGGCTAACAAAGCTGCACTTGGACTACTATCACTGCTGCACCAGCAGCGCTGCACCATCTCCACAGCGCTGTTCCTGCTGCACGCAAGGCCACTCTGAGCCGCTACTCTGTGCAGCAGTATCTGTAGCTCCTGGCTGAGTTGGTAACACTCCGGTTTCAACAGATGGCCACCACGATTATCAAGATGATAGTTGCTGATGCTGCTGATGATGCTGCTGCTGATAGTGCTGATGCCGATGCTGCTGATGATACTGCTAATGCTGATGGTGCTGATGCTGCTGCTGATGCCGATGATGCTGCTGCTGATGATGATGCTGATGGTGCTGCTGCTGATGCTGCTGCTGATGCTGCTGCTGATGGTGCTGCTGCTGATGATGGTGCTGCTGATGATGGTGCTGCTGATGGTGCTGATGGTGCTGCTTATGGTGCTGCTGTTGATGGTGCTGCTGCTGATGGTACTGCTGATGGTGCTGCTGATGGTGCTGCTGCTGATGATGGTGCTGCTGATGATGGTGCTGCTGATGGTGCTGCTGCTGATGATGGTGCTGCTGCTGATGGTGCTGATGATGCTGCTGCTGATGATGGTGCTGCTGATGATGGTGCTGCTGATGGTGCTGCTGCTGATGATGGTGCTGCTGATGGTGCTGATGATGCTGCTGCTGATGATGCTGCTGCTGATGATGGTGCTGCTCTTTCTCGGTGCGCGAGTCTCGGGTCCCCGTCTCGAGGAGTCGGGGGGGGGGGCGGGTTCGGGCCCCCCCGCCCCCCACCCCCTCGGAGTCGGGGGGGAGGGGCTGGGTTCGGCCCCCCCCGCCCCCCACCCCCTCGGAGTCGGGGGGAGGGGCTGGGTTCGGGCCCCCCGCCCCCCGCCCCCCACCCCCCGGAGTCGCGTTCCGAGATGCGGGGTAACCAAGGCGCTGGCGTCTCCATGGCGCCGCGGCGTCTCCACCACAAACAACGCGGCCCGGTGCTCCCCTCCTCCTCCCCCCTCCCGCTGCTGCTGCTCCCCTCCCCTCCCGCGTGTACTCAGCCCACCACACTCCACATCGTGTTCACCACACACCACCACCACACACCACCACTACACACCACGCATCACCACTACACACCACCACTACACACCACCACCACACACCACCACTACACCGTGTACTCAGCCCACCACACTCCACATCGTGTTCACCACACACCACCACCACACACCACCACCACTACACACCACCACACACCACGCACCACCACTACCACCACACACCACCACCACACACCACCACCACACACCACACACCACCACTACACACCACCACTACACCGTGTACTCAGCCCACCACACACCACATCGTGTTCACCACACACCACCACCACACACCACCACTACACCGTGTACACAGCCCACACTACAGCCTGTACACTCCGCCATCACTACACACGACTCCACATACACAATAATACACCATGCACACTACACACACTACACACCACCACTACACCATGTACACACTCCACTACTACTACATTGTGTTCACTACACACACACTACACACCACCACTACACCATGTGTACACTTCTGTACACTTCACCTAACACACCGTGAATTATACTACACCCACGCCGTGCACATACCATACCAGGTACACTCACACACACCTTGAACGCGCTACACTCACACACTACGTGTACCACCACGTGTACACACACACCGCGTGTACCCACATACCACGTGTACACACACACACACACACCGTGTGTACCACCACGTGTACACACACATCGCGCGTACCACCACGTGTACAACACACACCGCGTGTACCACCGCGTGTACACACACACCACACGTGTACTCACACCACACGTGTACTCACACCACACGTGTACTCACACCACACGTACACTCACACCACATGTACCACCGCGTGTACATACACACCACGTGTACACACGCGGCCGCACCACGCAGTAGAGTCATGGCATGAGACGAGCAGCGAGACAAGGGACACGGCAGACACAAGACACGGGGAGAAACGTGGAGATGTCAGGAGACAGTGCCAGCAGAGGGTGACATGTATGCAGATCGACAGAGGCAGGCAATGGGGTAGACGAGCAGAGAGAGACATCGGCAGACGGAGAAACTGGGACAAAAAAGACGCGCAGAGAGACACAGCGAGCGACGAGTCAAGGGAGATACGGGGAGACGTGACACGAGACACACTTAGAGACGGAGACAGAGGGAGACAGACAGGGAGACAGACAGAGTGAGACAGAGGGAGACACAGACAGAGGGAGACACAGACAGAGGGAGACACAGAGAAACAGAGGGAGACACAAAGACAGGGAGACAGACAGAGAGACACAGAGAGACAGACAGAGGGAAACAGACAGACAGAGGGAGACACACAGAGAGACAGAGGGAGAAACAGACAGAGTGAGACAGAGGGAGACACACAGAGAGACAGAGGGAGACACAGACAGAGTGAGACACAGACAGACAGAGTGAGACAGAGTGAGACACAGACAGACAGAGTGAGACACAGACCGAGGGAGACGGACAGGCACGCGACGGGGGCGACGCTGCAGGAAAGTTTTGACTCCATTTCTGACTCGTACTTCGCTCCCCGCGGTCCGAGATAAAACTTTTGGGCACCGACCCCAAATGATCCCCCCGACCCCCCCTGACCCCCCCTGACCACACCTGACCCCCCCTGACCCCACCTGGTCCCACCCGAGCCGCACTCACCCGCCGTGACCCGGTTGGGGTTCGCCTGTTTTCGGCGCGACATGCTGATGCTGCTGTTGATGTTGCTGATGCTGCTGCTGATGGTGGTGACGACTCCGCGGCGTTGTCCGGGGGAGATGGGGAAGATGGCAGCAGCAGCCGCAGCCGGGGGCATGGACTCGAGCCGAGCCCCGCGTCGCTCTGGAGACGAGGGGGGGGGGTCCCTGCTGCTCCCTGCTGCTCCCCCTGGGCGGGAGGGTCCACGCCGCTCCCTCCCTCCCTCCCTGCGGCTCCACCACCACCACCAGCAGCGCGCCCTCCCCTCCCCCGCTGCCCCGGGCGCGACTCCCGATAACTCTCCTCTCCCCCTCCCTCCCTCCCTCCTGCCTCCTCTCCCCGTCTCCCCTAACACTCCTCCTCCTCCTCCCTCTGATGCTCCCACTCGGCTGTCTCCCGTCTACTCTGCCGCCTCCTCCTCCTCCCTCTGCCCCCCCCTCCCAACTCTCCTCCAACTCCCCTCCCTCTCCCCGCCCTCTCTCATGACTCTCGCCTCCGTCTCCTCCAACTCCCCTCCTCTGTCTGATGCTCTCCTGTCTCCAGTCCACTGTCCCCACACCCTCCCCCCACTCCCCCGGCGTTCCTCTACCACTCTCCTGCCTCTCCCCTCGCTCTCCCTTCACTCTCCACTTCCTTGCCTCTCCCTCGTTGCCTCTCCTCTGCTTCTTTCTCCCCTCCGACTCTTCCTTCACCTATCTCCCATCCGCTCTTTTCGCCCTCTCTCCCCCGTCTCTCTCCTCCGTCTCTCTCCCCCGTCTCTCTCCTCTGACTCTCTGACTCTGCTCCCCCGTCTCTCTCCCCCGTCTCTCTCTCTACTTCTGACTCTGCTCCTCTCCCGTGACTCCCCCCCCCCGCACTCTCCCCCCTCCCCTCGCTCACCCCGTCACGTGTCTCGCGGCGTCGCCAAGGCACGGCGCTCCCCATAGCAGCCGGGAGGCAGCATCCACACCAAACACCCCCCACCCACCCCCCACCAGCCCCCACCCCACTCACCCTCCCCCCACCCACTAACCCACCCCTCTCCCCACCCACCCCACACACCCCTCTCCCCACTCCACTCACCCACCGCTCTCCCCACTGACCCCCACCAGCAACCTCACTCACCCACTCACTCACAACAGCTCACCGGTCACTCACCACCATCACCACCCACTCACCACCCACTCACCACCCACTCACCACCACCATCACTCACCCACTCACCACCACCATCACCACCCACTCACTACCCACTCACCACCCACTCACCACCACCATCACTCACCCACTCACTCACAACAGCTCACCGGTCACTCACCACCATCACCACCCACTCATCACCACCATCACTCACCCTCTTTCCTTACCCACTCACCACCACCATCACTCACCTACTCACTCACAACAGCACACCGGTCACTCACCACCATCACCACCCACTCATCACCACCATCACTCACCCTCTTTCCTTACCCACTCACCACCACCATCACTCACCTACTCACTCACAACAGCACACCGGTCACTCACCACTCACCACCATCACCACCCACTCACCACCACCATCCCTTACCCTCTTTCCTTACCCACTCACCCCACCTCCCGACTCACCCATCCACCCACTGTCCCCCCCACCCCCCACCCCTACCGGGGGGTGGGGGGTGGGGGGGGCAGTGGGGCCCGGCCTGCGGGGCGGGGGGCGGGGCTGAAGGGAATTTGGGTCCCAGGATTGGGGGGGGGTCAAGTTGAGCAACAGATGAGATGCCCCCCCCCCCCCATGTGCATCATCGTTTCTAACCATCATCACCAGCTCGCTGCCATCACCATCGTCTCGCCTCTCCTCCCGCTCACCACGTGCACACGCGCAGCCCGTCCACGTCACTCCACTGCTGGTGGTTATTTTGAGCTTCTCCACGACGGTCAGCGCGGCTTGGTGGTGGTGGAGAGGAGGGAGTGCAGTGAGTTTCACTGCACTGCTGCCCTCTGCTGCCCACAACGCCCACTGCTTCGTCTGCCCTCTGCGCTTGCTGGAGGTGGCCGCCGCCCTTCAAAGGGCTTGGTCCAGGCTCCAGCCTGCTGAGCCCGGGAGCTCTCACGGGATGATTGGGGGGGGGGGGGGGTAAAACGTCCAGTATGTAAAATTAGCCAACCCTTGCCTACCAACTTTATGCTGATGTTACGCCTCTTGAAGCACGGGTGGACCCCCTTATTTAAATACATTAGCAACTATATGTGCAACTGTATGGAAACAGCGTGAGACCTGGCGTCCAGGGCAACGCCAACCCAGGAGCTCCCACGGATGTCTTTGTCCACGCGTGGTGCCATTCACGCGTGTGATGTACAGCAGCAGTGGCAATATATTGAGGAGCTAAATGCCAATGTCGAGGTCTGCGATCCACGACGAGAGGGCTTCAGCAGAGAGGGTTCGTGTCGTGTTGCTATTCCTCAGCTGTAGGGGCGCTTTACTCTCTGGCCCATAGTTCGAATTGCATGGCCGCATTCGCACTCCTGTGACTGGGGCATTTAATTTGCCATTCATACAGTAGAGGAGCGCATCGGCCTCTTGACGTTACGACGCGGTTGATGGCGACACCAGCCGTGCGTGAGAGTGGTTGAGCGGGTGGGTGAGTGGGTGAGTGAGTCAGTGGGTGGGTGAGTGGGTGAGTGAGTGAGTGAGTGGGTGAGTGGGTGAGTGGGTGGGTGAGTGAGTGAGTGGGTGAGTGAGTGGGTGAGTGAGTGGGTGAGTGGGTGGGTGGGTGAGTGAGTGGGTGAGTGAATTGCTGAGTGAGTTGTTGGTTACTCCAGTGTCTTCGAGGAGGAATGTAAAGGCGATGAAGACGCGTTCGACGATGTTTGGGTCTCGAATGAGGCGTTCTGAACTCCGTGCGTGTTCACACGGCATGCTGCTCCTGAGTAACGGCCATTCCGTACACCTACAGGCTGCCCCGGGATGGGCAGCAGAGGGCAGTGCAGCAGAGCTGCATTGTTGTACCGTACTCTGTGCTCTAACGTCTATGCGTCTAGCCTCCCGCCTTGTCTTCAAGACCCTGCGCTAAACCATCGGTTACAGCGCTGCGCTACGATTCGTGAGCGCTGCGCTATGATTCGCGCTCACGGTCAACACCGGTGACGATTATCTGAACCCGTCCTGGGCCTCCCCTAGGTCGACTCAGCCTCAAATGAGTACCTGGTGCGGTTTGTATACATTGCCACTGGGGAGACAAAGACGGTCCGGCATAGTGCTGGCTGCCCACCCTCTCGTGTGCCGTGCCAGCCTTCATAGGTGCTCGCCAACAGCGGCACTTGCCCGAACAGTCTAATAAAGGCGATATGAGGAATATTCGTCTTTGCTCTGAGTCCACATCGGTAGGACTTTACTGACACTGGGTACAAGTTTGAGGTACGTATTACTTACAGGAGCGTCTCATAATCCGGTGAATACGGTGAAGTGACCGAGTAGCTTTGTGGGTTCGGTTTGTAATTGTGAGTGACCTTTGCTCATTTAAAGTGGGGGGGGGGGGGGGGGAACAAAACGACTCAACGCATATCCGTCAGAAACAGTGTGTATGTGGCCTTCAAAAATAAGAAAATATAACAGCCGACGTTTCGGGAAATAGCCCTTCCTCATCAAACATGGGCTGGCTCAACTAACTAAACATCTGGCAGTTACCAGCACGGGTTCAAGCGAGTTTTTGCTTGTGCTGAACCAATTCTGCTGAAATTATACATTACCATGGTAACTCTCAAGGAGGAGACACGGCCATTGTGAGCATCGCTAATTAATGCTCATTAGCACGTGAACACCCCGCGTGCCCCGAGCCTGGCACCGCAGCAGGCGTGAGAGCGCGTTCACGTCACAGGCGCATCCGTGGGGGTGGGGGAGACGGGGGAGGGAGGAAAGGGAAATGGGGGAGGGAGGGGAGAGGAGAGACACGAGGGAGGAAGATGAGGGAGGGAAGTGGGAGAGCTTTATGTAATTGGAAGGTTCGAAGCGTTGGGTGGGAGATGTGAGGGGTGCGATGGAGATGAGGGGTGGTGGAGGAGGTGGAAGATGAGAGGGTGGGAGCTCAGATGTGGGGGGGGTGAGAGGCGGCAGGGAGTCGGGGCTGGGAGGAAGGTTGGGGAGGGAGAATGTCGGCGGGCGTAGGAGGAAGGCGAGGAGGGAGGTGGACGAGTGGTGGAAGATGCAGGAGAGTGCGGAGGAGAGGAGGAGAGGGAGATAAAAGGTGGGAGAGTGTGGCGAGCCCATGGATGATCTTGAAGACGGTGAATGAGATCTTGAAGGTGACCTGGCATGGGATTCGGGTCAGGGGCCAGGGTATTTTGAGCGATGTGGTCATCCGGGCTGTGGGTGCGAGGAGACTGGCAGCGGAATATTCAACCTCGATCCGGGCCGACTTGGCTTCTTGTGCAATGCGCTGTTAATGACTAACTTGCGGTGTTTTAATTGATTTGTTTATATTCACCGCTGCCAAACAGGCCATTAATGTTTTGTTTAATTTCATATAACATTGTCGCCCTGTATTACAGTTACGCACGCCAGCTGTGTGTGATTCATCGGGTCCAAGGCTACATCTCACGTAAACAACCTTTGCTCATTCCACCACTACCATGCCATTACAACTACAATGCCGTCACAACCACCATGCCATGACAACCACCGCTATGCCATCACTACCGCTATGTCATTACGACCATGCCATGACAACCACCAGGCCATCACTACCGCTATGCCATTACGACCATACCATGACAACCACCAGGCCATCACTACCGCTATGCCATTACGACCATACCATGACAACCACCGCTATGCCATCACTACCGCTATGTCATTACGACCATACCATGACAACCACCAGGCCATCACTACCGCTATGCCATTACGACCATACCATGACAACCACCGCTATGCCATCACTACCGCTATGTCATTACGACCATGCCATGACAACCACCAGGCCATCACTACCGCTATGCCATTACGACCATACCATGACAACCACCAGGCCATCACTACCGCTATGCCATTACGACCATGCCATGACAACCACCAGGCCATCACTACCGCGATGCCATCATCACGATGGAAATCATCACCACCACTCCCCGAGAGTGTGGAGTTCAAACATGCTTCAAAATAGCAGCCGCAGCAGCAAAGCATCTCGCCCGACTTCACCCTCCAGCCGGGAGGGATCACAGGCGGATCAGGAATGTGACACGAGACGGTCGCGCCAGGGGAGGCCGGGTGGCCCAGGGGTCAGAGACGCGGAGCTCAGAGATCCTCGGTTCGCATCTGGGTCTCAGCCGCGCATCCGCAGTGATGAACCCGGGTGGTTCTCAACCTGGTCACCAACAACTGCACCACTAAACCCCCACATATTGTTTTGACACTTCACGTGGCAAAATTCCAGCTCTGAGATTTGGATGTCTGTTTTGATCGAAGTGTGACCCCTGGCGTGGCCCGCGAGGCGTGCCGCGCGAGCTCAGGAGTTGGTTCTCCTTCTTCTGTCTGTGGCTTCACCTTCCGGAGGGCTTCCTCGTGCACAGGCTGGTGCACCGGGACGTCCTCATCTCGTGGCCTCAAGCCGCCTGTCGTGGCGCGGCTGGACGACGATTGGGGGGACGGCCAAACTGAAATGAGGAATCCGGCTCTTCCTGCAGTCTCCCAGAGAGCACGAAGCGGTGGAGAGGTGGCGTGTCCACAGGGACGCGGGGTAGGGGGGGGGGCTCTGGGATTATTAGTGGGGGGGGGGGGGGGGTAAAAGGGTTGGATTGGTGAGCGGGAGGCATGAGAGGAATAGGGGGCATCTGTGGAAGTGAGCGCAGATGAGTGTCGTGTGGTGAGTAGTTCATAGTCGTGCAATTGTTGTGAGTGTCGCGGTGAGTGGTGCATGTAGTTGTGGTAAGGAGTGAGTGTCGTAGTGGTGAGTGTAGGAGTGTGTGGTGAGTGTAGGAATGGTGAGTAGTGAGTGTAGTGGTGAGTGTAGTGGTCAGTAGTGAGTGTAGTAGTGGTAAGTGTAGTAGGAGTGGAATTGTGGCGCGTGTAGTAGGGTGAGTGTAGGAGTGGTGAGTAGTGAGTATAATAGAGGTGAGTGTAGTAGGGTGAGTGTAGTAGGGTGAGTGTAGTAGTGGTGAGTGTAGTAGGGGTGAGTGCAGTCGGGGTAAGTAGTGAGTGTAGTGGTGGTGAGTGGTGAGTGTAGTAGTGGTGAGTGGTGAGTGTAGTGGTGGTGAGTGTAGTGGTGGTGAGTGTAGTGGTGGTGAGTGGTGAGTGTAGTAGTGGTGAATGTAATAGGGGTGAGTGTAGTGGTGGTGAATGGTGAGTGTAGTGGTGGTGAGTGTAGTGGTGGTGAGTGTAGTGGTGGTGAGTGGTGAGTGTAGTGGTGGTGAGTGTAATAGGGGTGAGTGTAGTGGTGGTGAGTGTAGTGTAGTGGTGGTGAGTGTAGTGGTGGTGAGTGGTGAGTGTAGTGGTGGTGAGTGTAGTGGTGAGTGTAGTGGTAGTGAGTGGTGAGTGTAGTGGTGGTGAGTGTAGTGTAGTGGTGGTGAGTGTAGTGGTGGTGAGTGGTGAGTGTAGTGGTGGTGAGTGTAGTGGTGAGTGTAGTGGTAGTGAGTGGTGAGTGTAGTGGTGGTGAGTGTAGTGGTGGTGAGTGGTGAGTGTAGTGGTGGTGAGTGTAATAGGGGAGAGTGTAGTGGTGAGTGTAGTGGTGGTGAGTGGTGAGTCTGGTGGTGGTGAGTGGTGAGTGTAGTCAGAGTGAGCCAGTGGAGCCGTCGGGGTGCGGGGGGAGGGAGAGGAACTCGTCGGTCTGGATGAGCCGCGTGCCGGCACCGCGGACCCCGGGGACCCGGGCCCCGCTCACGCGTGACCCCCCTGCCCGCCCCCCTCCCTCCCCGCGGGGGTGCAGAGGAATGAGTTGGGGGTGCGGGAGGGGGGTAGAGGGGATCGACGGCGAGGAAGGAGAGCGGGGATGTGGGGCAAGTTGGATGGGAGGGTGTGGGGAAGAGTGGGAGGGAGGGAGGAATGGAAGGAGGGTGATCGGGAGCACCGGGACGGGAGAAGGACGGAGTGAAGGAGATATGGTGAAGGACGGAGTGAAGGAGATATGGTGAAGGACGGAGTGAAGGAGACAGAGAGATGGTGAAGGACGGAGTGAAGGAGCGATGGTGAAGGACGGAGTGAAGGAGACAGAGAGATGGTGAAGGACGGAGTGAAGGAGCGATGGTGGGAACGAGAGGAATTAGTGGGAGGTGCGGCAAGGTGGGAGGGGGAACGAGCAGCGAGGGTGCGGGGACTGGGAGCGGAGGGGTGCAACTGAAGAGATAGGGGAGGGAGGGGAGGGAGGGGTTGGTAGGGGAGGGAGGGGTTGGTAGGGGAGGGAGGGGAGGGAGGGACGGGAGGGGGAGAGGGAGCGGTGGTGGCCGAGGATCGATTGGAAATTCCTTTGGCTCGAAGCGACGAGATCCAGGCTACAGCGCCGGGCGGTGACGGGGGCCGGTGGGAGGGAGGGGGTAGACGGGGGGAGGGGGGGGGGGTAGACGGGGGGGGGGGGGTAGACGTGGGGGGGTACCGGGTGTCCAAGAGTGGGGGTACGGGGAGGGAGACGGGGGCCACGAGAACAGACAAATCGACCTCAACTGACCCATCAACTCATCCACTCACCCACTTGGCAACCCCACCACTCACTCACCATCACAGCCAATCACCAACCCAACCACTCACCATCCCAACCACTCACCAATACAACCACTCACCATCCCAACCACTCACCTACTCACCAACCCCAAAACTCAGTCACCAACCTTTCCACTGATCCACTAACCACAACCCACTCTCTCATCCACCAAACCACCCACTCACCCAGTTTACCGCAGACTCGTCCACTATACCACCCACTCACTCAACCACCGACTTACCCACTCAACCACAAACCCAACTGCTCACTCATCAAACCAAGTGCTGTCTTACCAATTCACTCACACCGAACAAATCAACCAACCATTCGAATACAGCAGCCCCTCACCCGCGCGCGTTCGACCCCCGTCACTCGCCAGACGCTGACCCAGGACTTTGCACCCACAGGACCACATCAACAACATCACCATCCACAGACGCGTGCATCACACACAACAGCAGACTCGTTGTCGGGGAGCAGCGAGTCTGCAACGGTTGCCGTCGCAGTTCGTTCGCTCCTGCTGACAAGGGGGTCACGGAACAGGCCCAGGTGTCCATGGGTCGTAGGATGTGCGAGGCGAGGTGCAGCAGGTCACGGAACAGGCCCAGGTGTCCATGGGTCGTAGGATGTGCGAGGCGAGGTGCAGCAGGTCACGGAACAGGCCCAGGTGTCCATGGGTCGTAGGATGTGCGAGGCGAGGTGCAGCAGGTCATGGGACAGACCCAGGTGTCCATGGGTCGTAGGATGTGCGAGGCGAGGTGCAGCAGGTCACGGGACAGACCCAGGTGTTATCGGTTGGCGGACTGATTTGACTGCCAGACGCACGCCCTCTGTTGCTCCCCACTGTGGCAACTTGCTTCCGCGGCGATGTAGAGATGCAATTTGCATAAACGACGGTGCAAAATATAAAATGACACAGAATTCATTCGCTAAACCCATTCACTGTTAACTCGTGTACTGTTGCACTACTCGGATTTTATTATAATTAATCAACTTCCTCGCTCGCCCATGCATTCACTCACGCGTACATAACTCATTCACACACGTTAAACAATTCTTCAATTCATTTAAATATTGCACTCATTAAGGTATCGACTTACCGATCGTTTGTGAATTCTCAACATTTCTCTACAGTTCATTTGTGAATGAAATAATTAAATTGTTATTTCGCAATTTTTTGTTTCGTGAATTAAATCATTCGCAGTGAGCAATTATTCTAATTCCTGGATAATGAGAATTAACTCATTCTCTCATTTTGTGAACTCATTCGAGCTCCCATTGTGTTGAGAATGAACTCTATGTTATTCACCCGCGTGCATTTCAACTCGCTCATTAATTCAGTTGTGAACGAATTCTCTCATTCAGAAAGAATGTGAATGAACTCATTCTATCATTCAATGTTGTGAACGAACTCATTCATTTTCCAAAAGTGTTAACATCATTCACTCTCCACACTGTCGTGTTCACGACATCGTTCACTCTCCACAATGTCGTGTTAACATCATTAACTCTCCACAATGTCGTGTTCACGACATCGTTCACTCTCGTTCACTGCCTTGCGAACGACGGCTTCGTTCGCCACGTGCTCTCGCACACCCGGATGTTGTCATGACGTCACTACCCCGTGGCGCCGCGCGCCCCGGAACGGTTCGTGACGTCACGTCCGTCGCGGTGACCTTGCGGAAGCGACGGAATGAATGGCGGCGTGGGCCACGCGTGACAGCTGCAGGTGACGGGCAGCAGCGTGGCCGGGCAGCCACGGGGCATGGTGGGCAGCGTGGCGAGGGGCAGGGAGGGAGGAGGGCAGCCACGGGGCATGGTGGGCAGCGTGGCGAGGGGCAGGGAGGGAGGAGGGCAGACACGGGGCATGGTGGGCAGCGTGGCGAGGGGCAGGGAGGGCAGCCACGGGGCATGGTGGGCAGCGTGGCGAGGGGCAGGGAGGGAGGGCAGCCACGGGGCATGGTGGGCAGCGTGGCGAGGGGCAGGGAGGGAGGAGGGCAGCCACGGGGGATGGTGGGCAACGTGGCGAGGGGCAGGGAGGGCAGCCACGGGGCATGGTGGGCAGCGTGGCGAGGGGCAGGGAGGGAGGGCAGCCACGGGGCATGGTGGGCAGCGTGGCGAGGGGCAGGGAGGGAGGAGGGCAGACACGGGGCATGGTGGGCAGCGTGGCGAGGGGCAGGGAGGGAGGGCAGCCACGGGGGATGGTGGGCAACGTGGCGAGGGGCAGGGAGGGCAGCCACGGGGCATGGTGGGCAGCGTGGCGAGGGGCAGGGAGGGAGGGCAGCCACGGAGGGCAGGGAGGGAGGAGGGCAGCCACGGGGCATGGTGGGCAACGTGGCGAGGGGCAGGGAGGGAGGAGGGCAGCCACGGGGGATGGTGGGCAGCGTGGCGAGGGGCAGGGAGGGAGGAGGGCAGCCACGGGGGATGGTGGGCAGCGTGGCGAGGGGCAGGGAGGGCAGCCACGGGGCATGGTGGGCAGCCACAAGGCAGGGGAGGGCAGCCTCCGGCTTTGGGAGGGAAGTCGGGGCTCATTCAAGTGCTCCCAGTCAGGAAGACAGCGGTCGATTTTAGACGCGATATACATCGAGATTGCATCGGTTCAGTGTTGTTGAATGGAAGGGTTTATCGGGTTTACAGAAACCCTTCGATGTGTCTGTGAGTCTCCCGTGTGAGTGTGGATCTATACGAGTCGACGTTTAGGCTCAAGCCCTTCCTTCGGTCTCTGCCTTCGCTTGCGTGGTTGTGCATCATGTCGAGATGGTCGCTATAAACACGCATCGAGCCCAGAGCTGTGAATTGGCGTCCGTAGTGAAAGGAATTAGACGTGAAGTAAATAACTCGGGATAATACCTCCAGCCTTACCCTTAAACGCCGAAATACCTTCTTGCCCCCCTCGTTACCCTCCCTCGTCTCCCGCATCCCTCTCCACCCCGCAGGCCTCTCTCCGCGCCACGCTCTCCGAGGCCGTCACGTCGCGCCTCCTCGTAGCGAGGACCCGTCGCCGCGATGCGGTCCGCGGCGCTCGTCCGCCGGCTCACGGTGTCAAGGGCCCCCCACGCGGACTTCGCCTCCCTGCCCAGACATCGGAGCCCCGCGTGCCTCACTCGGAGCCCCGCGTCTGCCGCCCTCTGGGTCGCCGCGTCCCCGCAGTCGCGGCTCCTCGCACGCGGCCGCTTGAGCTGCGCGGCACTGCACAGCGCGCCCGGCCGAGACCCCCAGCAGCGGAAAGTCGACCCCCTGCAAGAGGACAAGGGCGACCCCCTGCAAGAGGACAAGGGCGATGCCCAGCGCGGCGCTGACCCCCTGCGAGCCAAGGCGTTGGAAGCCGAGGGTAACCCGCAGCCCGCCTCGGAGGAGACCGACCCTCTGCAGGACCGCTCCATGGGCCTCATATCACGCTTCAAGAGAACCTTGAAGCAGTACGGCAAAGTGATGATCCCTGTCCACCTCGTCACCTCCGCCGTCTGGTTCGGATCCTTCTACTACGCGGCCATGAGGTGAGGCCCCTCGGGGACACGACTTGGGGCTGTGGGGTGGCAGCCCCCCCCCCCCCCCCCTCCTAGGATGAATGCGGTCAGGACGCAATTTGATCCATCATTATCCATTCCCGGTTTCATTCCGGAACAAATCGCCCCGAGTCAGTTCTCTTATCTTAGAAGCGGCGTCGAGTGGCCATGGGAGACCCCCAGTGCTTGGCTGGTGCTGAATGTCAACCCGCCCTTTCTCCGGGTACTCCAGTTTCCGCCCAGATGAAATGCTCATTAATGGGATTTGCCAGACATCTAAATTATTGACTTGATGCAGCTTTCTCTCGGATAAACAACCGAAAGGGGAGGGAGGGTATTGAATGGTAAAACAATTACAGCACACGACACCAGGAGCAGTTATGGAGAAACAACCTTTTGTAAAATGATGAAAGGTACTCGGGTTTGAGTAAAATCGGTGGATTTTTTTTACTTTCAAGGGCACCCAGCGACGTTTGAGCTGCCCGAGTGCAGGAGAATCACAGGACGTGTGGATATGCATGTAGGGGAGTTGACTGGTTCAGGCATGCGCTCACCACACAGCCCCTTCAGTGCACGATAACAGCACCTGTCCCAAGAGTCTGTTAAAGTCCACGTGGGGGGGGGGGGGGTCATTGTTGTTTGCAGGGGAGTGAACGTACTGCCTATGCTGGAGGCCCTGGGATTTCCTGAGAAGTTCATCAAGCTCCTGCACAGCTCGCAGGGAGGCAACTTGCTCACAGCCTACGCACTCTACAAGGTGACCTGCACCACACGCAAAGCAGCACAACGCTCTGCACGTAACCCTCAGAAACAAACTACTCACCGCTGCTGCCGCCACAGTAAAAACAATCTAAAAGTGGGTGCTGTGTGCCCATCCCCACAGATCGCTACGCCGGCGCGCTACACGGTGACGTTGGGTGGCACCTCCTACACCGTCAAGTACCTGCGCAAGCGTGGCATCCTCAACACTCCACCGCCACCCAATGTCAAGCAGTTCCTGCAGGACAAGATGGACGAGACTCGCGAGAAGATATCGGAGAAAGTGAGCGACACGCGGGAGAAGATATCTGAGAAAGTGAGCGACACTCGCGAGAAGATATCTGAGAAAGTGAGCGACACGCGTGAGAAGATATCTGAGAAAGTGAGCGACACGCGCGAGAAGATATCGGAAAAGGTGCAGGATACGAAGAACAGAGTTGCTGGAAAGAAGTGAGGCAGTGGTTGCTGGCCACACACACAAGCAGCATCCGAGACAAGCGGCAGGAGCTATAGCAGCAGGAGCTATAGCAGCAGTACTGAACCAGCGAATGCTAGGAAATTCACTTGAATATGCAACTGTAAAAGTATCCATGCTGTCCATGTGGTGAATCGCACTAACCATGACCTGTTATGGATTAAAAATCATTGCTTTAAATGAAACTGGCACTTAAAAGGCCGAGTTTGTGTAATGTATGTGAATGAATAAATATGAAGTTGAATGAGAAAATTTGTTTTGAAAAAATCCTGAGCAGAAAACACTTTATTGGTCTTTATTTATTAGGCGAAAAATGGACCGTGAAACATTCCCACACTCGCGCCAGTGCACTATTTACAGCGACCCACAGATCTCCCGGGAGCACAACCGTCCGACGCGGAGCAATGCTCACAGCAGTGCAGGCCGGGTCGTTTGGGTGAGGCAGGCAAACCTCGGAACCAATCGTGACCAGCTCATTAAAGAGACTAGCGATGTCTACGCACAGTTCATGCACTCAAACACCCCACCTGCAAGTTTTGTATATTAAAATAAATGTACACCCATCCCCCAGTTATCTCTGCAATCATTCCCACAGCGATAAACATAACAAAGTTTTAAAAGATTAACATGCTGCACTAGACCAACAAATATTATCGGAACGGGATTACCACGAGGCCTGTAATGATTCATCATTCATAACCTCTTAACTCTCAAACACTGCGGTGAGTGTAGGACCTCTCTTCGCCGAGGGTGTCACGTGAAGATATCAACTTGCATCGACAGTAACGGAGGAATCGACACGCTAGCAGCAGGTTCTCGATCCAGTCAGGCGGATAGCTCCGCATGCCTCCATCGCACCCCCAGGGCAGACCTCGCCCGCTCCACTCCCACCAAAAAGCTTCTCTCCACTTGATTAACTCCAGACAATGTGCACCGGTACAAGAACTGACACCCACGCGGATGGTGGAGGAAGGTAGCCCTCGCCTCAGTTGGCTGTACTGGCGGCGCTGCTGGTGGAGGCGGCGCTGCTGGTGGAGGCGGCGCTGCTGGTGGCGGTGTAGGCGGGCGGCACAACGCGTTTGGCATTGGCCTTTACCCAGGGGTGCTGCAAGACTCTAGCGAGCGGCAGGCGGCTGTGGGGGCTGTGTTTCAGCAGACTTGTAATCAGGTCCTTGGCTCCATCGCTCAAGTGCGATGGGAAGCGTAGGTCCACCTGGAAGACAAAGAGCGAGTGGAGGGATTATCATTTATCACTCAATACCGTGCCTCGCGCAAGTAGAAAACAAGTGCAGGAGCGCCAACAGAACTAAACAATTGAACAGAGCACTGCGTTCACTTGAGGCCAACCACTCGGTGGAAGCAACAGTTCATGTTACATATTACTAGAGTTTAAAGTAAGTGAAAACAAGTAAACCCGTAAAAACAAAGTTTTTTACTATAAATCCTTTATATGCGTGGCGGCTAGAGTCCTCTCGTCCTCTGGCTTGAGATGGCTGCCACCTATGGGTCAGATGATTGTCTGCCACCATTAAGCAATTGGTAATTAAATATTTAATTTGTTTTCCCTAAACAGTGTAAAATTTAGGATTTTTTTTTCCACGAAAATTAATTGTCACACACAACGAGTCTGTGTGGAAAATGTCAGCTCGATTGGATCACGGGAAGTGGGTTAAAAACGAGCGAAAGATTTGCACGGTCCTAAGCAAGCAAGCGAACTTAATATAAAGGATTTAAAAATATATTCGCCTGTGGAGGAGGCGGGGATCGATCCCGCGACCTTTGGCATGGGAAGCGAGGGCGCTACTAACTGCGCTACTCCACCACGGCCTGTGGAGGGGTTACGCTCTGGGCTCTTGCACTGTGATGTTCAGCCAAAGCCATGAATGCGTTCTATTTGAATATATGTAAAATTATTTTTTTTTTGCCTAAAAAGTGTAAAATTTTGGGAATTTGTTTTCACAAACAATAATTGTCTGGCACAACGAATCTGTGTGGAAAATGTTAGCTCGATTGGATCACGGGAAGTGGGTTAAAAAACGACCGAAAGATTTGCACGGTCCTAAGCAAGCAAGCAAGCGAACTTAATATAAAGGATTTTAAAAACTCAAGTTTTGCACGAGTACTTTTTTGTGCAGTCATTGGTGATCGTCAACTCGCTACACATGATAAACCAGTTTAAGCGCCAGCAGCTGAAACCCGCATTCAAACCCAAGATTTTCAGCGGAAGGTCAGTGCTCTGACCTCTAACCCACCTCCAAATGGAAGCTGTTATTTGACCAATTAAACAAACAGAAAAGATGTTATAACCGGGCTTAGTTAAATATTTGATCTTTTTGTGCAGTCCCTGCCGAATGGACCAATCCTACGGACCAAACGGGCCACCGCCAGCCAACCCTCACCTTGGAGATGCGGCGGTAAGTCTCACTGTGGGACTCCGACTCAAAGGGCGGGCGCCCCACAAGAAACTCGTAGCAGAGCACGCCCAGGCTCCACAAGTCCACCTTCTCATCGTGCATGCGCCCCTCGATCATCTCGGGTGGCAGGTAGTCCAGCGTGCCGCACAGAGTCGCGCGCCTGTGTACGTGCGCACATGAAAACTCATTTGTACAACTATCCTCGCTCCATTAGCCTACATTACAACAACACGAACGCATCGCTCGGAAACCACTTACACGAGTCCTATGTAAATCGATTCCCATCCACACAAATTGGGTGCTAGCATCACCAGTCACCTGCTCACTCATTCCGCCAGTCGCACCAATGCACACACTCGCACGCTCCACCAACAACCGCTGTTCACCACCAAGTGGTGGTGAGGTCACCACGGCACCTGTGCCAGGCAAAGTGTAACCCAAGACCAAGTGAAGTGTCGAAGGCTCGCTGGCAGAATGTCACAGGACAGACCCAGGTGCTATGGGTTGATGGACTGACAGATGCACCCTGTGCTCCCCGCTGTTCCAACTTGTTGCTTTTATCCACCCAGCGCTCTGCTCATTGTTGTGAGTCTTTCATCTGCCCTCTGTTATTGGAGGGCGGCTGCCTCCAACTGCCCAGTAGCATCCTCCATAAGCTTCCTCCAGAGGTCGATCTTGACACCGCTCGTATTAGTCATTGATCAGTCTAATCAGATGCAGATATTTCTGTACCACAGTCTATCTCTTCTCTAGCCTGTGCTTCAGCCATTAAGCTGCTGGCTGATGGTAAGGCCCCATCACTTAGTGGCATGCTCCAGGTTCAGTAGTAGCATCTCCAACTCCTCCAAGTGGGCAGCAATTACCAGATCAGCCACACTGGTACATCCATGGAAAGCTTCTCGAATTACGTGGTCAAAGAAGATGTTAAATAGTGTAGGGGCCAGAGGACATCCGACACACCCCTAGGGTGAACAGAAAATGGCTTCGACACCCGGCCACACAGCTTTACCCAGGTCTGCCCACCAACATGAAGGTCCTTAATGTTTGTGAGCAGAGGGTCTGGGACTCTGAAAGCATGAAGAATAACCCAGAGCCCTAGCTTATTTATTGTATCATACACTTTGACCAGGTTAATAAAGCAGAGATGTCGGTCCTGTTGAAATTCCCTACACCTCTGCTATTGTAGATCGAGAGCCATATGGCATATTCTAAGCATGCTCCTCCACTCGCCCCACCAGCTACTCGCCCCACTAGCCACTTGCGTACCTGGAGGAGGGCGCGTGCACCGACCACCCAAAGTCGGCGATCTTGAGCTCTCCCTTGAGGCCCAGCAGCAAGTTCTCGGGCTTAATGTCGCGGTGGATCACCTTCTTCGAGTGGCAGTACATAAGTGCGTCCGCCATGTCCGCGACGTACTGCACACGCATCACAGCACGGGTATCACAAGACGTGCTGGCACGCCCGCACCACCTTACCAATGGGGGGAGGGGGGGGGGGGTCAGTCACGGCGACAAGGTTCAGGATGTGGCGGGGGTCTCACCGAGGCGCTGCGTTCCTCGTCAAACTTCCCCTGCTTCTGCAGCGGCTTGTAGAGCTCCCCGCGCGGAGCGTACTCCAGGATGAGGTAGACGCGCGTGCGGTCGTGGAAGTAGCCATAGAGGCGCAGGATGTTCGGGTGCCTGTGTCAGGCCGAGGGGAAGGAGGAGGGGGCAGAGATAAGAGAGGGGGGTGAGGGGATGGGGTTACAAGGAGACGGATGGGCAGAGGGGGTGCGGATGTAGATAAGGAAACGTCAATTAAAGGTTGTGGAAAACCAGTATCGAATCACCATACCGTGAGTATTGAATCACATTGAGTCAATTACATTAAAAATGACAATTTGGCTGAACCAGAGGAAAAAAATGTATCTCTCTGGACCGCGAGCGCTCACCGCAGGTGCGACTGGATCTCAATCTCGCGCCGCAGCTGGTGCTCCACACCAGACTTCTCCAGCTGAGACTTGAAGAGCACCTTGAGCGCCAGGATGAACTTGGTGCTCTTCTCCCGCGCCAGGTACACGTTGCCAAACTTGCCCTTGCCCAGCGGCCGCCCAATGTCAAAGTTGTCCAGCGACCACTGCTTCCTGCGACACGGGGAGCCAGGCCCACCGGATCCATCATCAGCAGGGCCCACGCTTGCACCGACAAGGAAGGTGCATTTATTACATCTCTGGAAAAGCCTCGCCGAGTCTCACTCTTTCAGGAGGGTCCTGCTGGATTGGGATTCTTGGTCAATTCCAGAATTAGAGTGCAGCTTCATGTGGGAGGAAATCAGAAAACCCACAAGGCACACTTGGGGGTTAATCTCAAGATGGTTAAATCAGATGGATTCAATATATTGAATCATCTGTGGATTTAATCCATAGCTGTACTGCCATGTCCTGGCCACCTCACAGCCCCACATCTAAAAAAAAGTCGCATAATCTCACTCTCAAGAAGAAAGAACGACTCAAGAGGTGCAAGGAACCACCGATGAGAGGGAAGGCAGCCAGGCAGTGAGCCGGCACCAATAACTACCCAAGTTCTGCAATCCTCTATATATTAAGCTGTTTTGGCTAATAAATGTTTACATGTGGGAGGGAAGCACAACACCTGGAGAAAACGTACACATGCGAGGGGACAACACTATCCCATACCGATGGAACGGGTGCAGTCCACATTTATTTTATCATTTCCTGGCGAGCCAGAGAATAGCTCCTCCTCAACCCTCATGAGAAGGGATTTTCACAACACCAACACATGTGCGATCCACCAACCATTGCTGCTGCCTCCACAGTGTTGGATTACAGGTGTGCGCCACCATCGCCTGATGTACGTGTAGGTGTGCGAGTGGGTCGTAGACAAGTGTGTGTGTGTGTTCATAGAGTTAAACGGGGCTCAACCCACTTTGTCTTGGCCACGTCGTTGGGGTTGGCACACGCCTGTGACGAAGACGCTTCCGCCTCTGCAACACAGACAGCAGAGACTTGTTATGAGAGCAGCGGACTCATGAAGACACATCCCAAGAGTGTACTGCATAGACGAGGCTGCGAAGAGTTTCAAGTCAAGTTCTTTTCTTTAACCAGCCGAGAACTGAAGGAGACCAGGAGGAGTTATTCGAGTGAGGAGTCATGAAAATGACGAAATGAAAACAAACATTATAAAGTACAGCCATGAAGGAAATATGAATCAGAACAAAAATAACTTTTAGCTGGAGGATAGGGGTGTCAGTGGAGGTGTGTATAGACCAGGCTGTGAGGAGGGTAGCGACCAGGCTGTGTGGAGGGTGGCGGTGTGAGTGTAGGTATAGACCAGGCTGTGTGGAGGGTGGCGGTGTGAGTGTAGGTATAGACCAGGCCGTGTGGAGGGTGGCGGTGTGAGTGTAGGTATAGACCAGGCTGTGTGGAGGGTGGCGGTGTGAGTGTAGGTATAGACCAGGCCGTGTGGAGGGTGGCGGTGTGAGTGTAGGTATAGACCAGGCCGTGTGGAGGGTGGCGGTGTGAGTGGAGGTGTAGACCAGGCTGTGTGAAGGGTGGCGGTGCGAGTGGAGGTGTAGACCAGGCTGTGTGGAGGGTGGCGGTGTGAGTGGAGGTATAGACCAGGCTGTGCAGATGAGGGCGCTGGCGGCTGTGGCTGCTGCTGCTGTGCCTGCTGCTGTTGGCTGAGCGACTTGGGCCCCACAGGGATGCGCTGGGGCAGGTTGTTATGGCCCGTGGGATTCGCAGGTCGAGCGCCACTCGTCATCTTATTCAGGAGGCGCTTAGCATCCCCGGACCCGCCAGCCCCCACCAGCTGCACCGCACAGACAAATGAACATTTATTATTCATACAGCACTTCCCCATGCACTCGAGTGAATCTTGAGGATCGAGTGTTCAGCCACACAGGACACCTTGCAGAGGCTTGTGGTGGAAATACTGGTGCTGGTAGTGAAGGCATTGCAATGCATGATGGCACAGACGAGAGTATGTGAATTCAATATTGGTTGTTTTTTTATAATCAAACAAGTGCTGTTTATTAAGATAGGTGTGGTGGAAATGTACAGGATGGTTTAAAATGTCCTTCCAAAAAAGCATCCTCGGCAACATGAGAAAATATACACATCCTTCATCATTCTTACATTTGTGACACGGGGAATGAGTCCTAAGTGGACATCAGCTCTATGTGATGGATTCTATATAAACACGATTTTTGTCCCTGGGTAGTAAGTGTTATTTTTTAAATTGCTTATGCCTAAAAAGTATAGAAAATGGCTATTATTCCCCACAAACTTTGCTTTTGTGAGCAGGACTTTACGTGAAGGAATAACACAAATGCACACCACGTTTTCTCATTGAAAATAGGTCAAATTCGAAATATCACTGCCCTAGTCACAAAAGCAAACTGTGGGGAATAATAGCCATTTTCTGTACTTTTGAGGCATAAGCTATTTAAAAAATAACACTTCCTACCCAGGGACATTTTTTGTTAGTGTAATCACTTACAGCTATAATGCGTCAATCACAAAACCTGACCCGAGCAGTTACCATGAAAGAGAAATGGTAAAAGTTACGCAACTTACTTTGTATAAAACAACGGAATTCTGATTTGAATTAGCAGTTTTGTCCCATCCTAATATTCAATGGAACAGAATCTACAAAAGGGAAAATGTTGGATGTATAAGCTGTCAATGATCCTTGGGGGAGGGATGAGTAGCGTTGAATGTGGCAATATGTTGAGGATGTAGATGGCGGTGTGGATGATTGCAATGCCGATTGTGTAGATGACGTGACAGACGACTGTGGTCATGCTGGACACCAGAGCTCCTCCATGCATTTTCCACTGGGGCAGAGAATTCAACTTTCGTGACATAACATCCGAGCATGTGACACTCCCTAGAGGCCACTCCGTGGGGCCCCGGTGCGTACGATTGTTGTTGCTATGAAATGAATTGGCAGCAGCTTCCTCCTTTGTGTTTCTGCACTCACGTTCGCAGTGTGTGGATCGCTGTTTTCCTTTGAGTTCATTCTCGAGGCTGAATGTCGGGAGAGACGGCCAACACAGTTAAAATTCAATTGAATAAAAAAACAAATTAATAAAACCCCCACACTCGCCAACAACTGCTTTGTGTTTAGTGCGTTGCCCTTCCACCGCATCTCTGAGGAGCCCGGTTGGCTACGTACGTTGCGAAATAAGTTCTACATACAACACTGTGGGCGTAAAAAATATATATAATCTGACGTTTCGGGCAATGGTCCTTCAAATCACATCACCACTGCCAAGGCAGCATCACCAAATAATTGGTTACAATTAAACAAAGTGAATCAACTCGCCCAGCCGCGCTGCGAAATGGCCGCGACCCGCAAGGGAATCGCGCCCAGGGCCTCTCGTTTGTCCCAAACTCCTCGACTCTGAACCTCACACCACCAGTATATTATTATTACTATAAACGCCAGGCCCTTCGACACTTATAATAAAACACCTCGGGTCTCAACCTTCCCCTACAATTTAAATATATCGTGCAAGTGGCAGGACGACGACGGCTGTCATCAATCATTAGCGAAACTATGAATCTCATCTCTCTTGCCAGCATCGGGCATTCGACATTCTCATGACGGGAGACCAGTCTAGACACGTTGTATCGATCAACAGGCCCTCAATCACGACCCGCGTCACGACCCATCGATTAAACGCGGACATTTCTCAAACCGCAATGCAACTCTCCCCGCCTCCACAGCAACCCGCACCACTCCCGCCAGGACCCACGCGGCGCTCACGTCCAGCCGTGAAGCGCCGGCGAAGCTGTGGCCGAGCAGCACTCACTCGAGATGCCGTGGCAGCAGCAGCAGCAGGAGGAGTGAGGCCCAGGGAGTGAGGCCCAGGGAGTGGACGCGGTGCCGACCCAGACGACTTGCCACCACCCCCGTCGAGCGCGAATATTCACAACCGCGGCGGGCGGGCGGGCGGGCGGGCGAGGAGACGCACACGGCAACAAACCCACAACAACAGGCACACGACAAGTAGCGGCGCAGACGACTGACGACAACAACAACAACAATAGCGTCGTCGTCGGTGTTGCGAGCGGCACGAAGAGGCGACACGAAGGCGGCCGCGAGCTTCCCGGGGTTCGCCGCCAACGGCCGCGCAAATTTAAAACGCAGCCCCCCACGTGACGCGCCCCTGACGCGCGCTCCCATTGGCCGCCCACGCGAGCCTCGCCTCGCCATTGGACGCGAGCCGCCGGTGACGTCACGGAGGAAGGCGGGTTTAGTGAAGTTTGAATTGATTGGACGAAATGTCGGGGGATGCCATTCCCCTCCCCCGCTTTGTCGTACGTGATTCGCCCGCGCGGCACACGTGACGCTACCAGCGCGGCGCACGTGATTCGCCCGCGCAGCACACGTGACGGTACGAGCGGTGAAGCCGCGGCTGCCATCTTAGGTCGACGCGGTGCGGAGTGAACGTCGCCACCGGGGAGACAAAGGCGGCCGGGCGTGGTGCTGGCCACCCAGCCCCAGCCCCCCTCGTGTGCCACAGTGCCGGCCTTCATAGGCGGTGCTGCTGCTGCTGCTACTCGCCCCAACACGGGGAGGCTGTGAAGCCACGACGATTGCGCCTTTCGGAATTGGTGGTGCAGGAATTGAGAATAATTTGCCGTTTAATTTGTTTAGATTCTCGATTAGTTTTGTTTCATTTGCAAACTTTTTGTCCGCTCGAAATACACAAGCCTCACGTCAGTCTCGTTTAAATTATAGTTGTGTACAGTTTACATCGATTCGTACTTGTGAGACAGTGCCAGGAGCTGGTATTCCCTTTCTCAACTCTGTTTCATTCCTCTCGGCATCTCCTCCTTCTCTCGCCCCCCCCCCCACCTCGCCAGAGTTTCATTCCTCTCGGCATCTCATTCTCTCGCCCCCCCCCACCTCGCCAGGGTTTCATTCCCTCGGCATCTCGTTCTCTTGCCCCCCCCCCACCTCGCCAGAGTTTCATTCCTCTCGGCATCTCCTCGTTCTCTCGCCCCCCCACCTCGCCAGAGTTTCATTCCCTCTCGGAATCTCCTTCTCTTGCCCCCCCACCTCGCCAGAGTTTCATTCCCTCTCGGAATCTCCTTCTCTTGCCCCCCCACCTCGCCAGAGTTTCATTCCCTCTCGGAATCTCCTTCTCTTGCCCCCCCACCTCGCCAGAGTTTCATTCCCTCTCGGAATCTCCTTCTCTTGCCCCCCCACCTCGCCAGAGTTTCATTCCCTCTCGGCATGTCCCGAGTTCGCGACTCGTCGTGCCGCAGGAGCGACTTGCCGGCAGCGAGAGGCACCGCTGGATTTGGGGGGTGCCGCTGTCATTCAAACGTCGCCCGAACCCGACATTGTCACCTTCAATTGCTGCTACGTTGCTGAAGGACCATTGCCCAAAACTTCGGCCCATTCCACACACTGTGTGTGCTTCTCGCAATGAAGCGCTGCTGTCATTGGAACATCCGATGTATTTTGTATAATTGGTGTCAAAACCAGCACCACCAAAAGACAAATATCCCCCTTATAGCCTGTTAACAGTCTGTGAACAGGCTGTGAACAGGCTGTTCACGGGCTGTTAGCGAGCACCTATGCAGGTCGGCACGACGGCGTGGGTGGCCAGCACAACGCCCGGCCGCCTTTGTCTCTCTCGTGGCGATGATTACACATCGCTCCAGGCACGTGTATTGAACTTGATTCGCACCGCACGTAGCCACCGTGCTCCCCCGAGCTCGAGTCGACCTCGGGGGAGACCCGGGCGCGGTTCGGATCCTCGCCAGCCACGGTGTCGGCCGTGAGCGGGAATCGAACTCGGGTGGCCGGGTTCGGAGCGAGGTGACGCCAACCACTCCACGAGCGCAACAACAACAACAGCCAATCGCCGCTAAGTGGCGGTGACGTCACCGCGGCGCTTGTGCCAGGCTATGTGCACGTCGATGCCAACGCGGACCACGACACCGCCACCACATACCGGCGTGGCGCGCCTCAACACGCCTCGGATGACGTCGCGCGTTCCACCCCCACTGCCCCCCCACTGCCCCGCCCCCTGCCCCGCCCCCTGCCCCCCCCACTGCCCCCCCACTGCCCCCCCACTGCCCCCCCCACTGCCCCCCCGCGTCGTGCACACGGGGCCCGCCGGCTCAGCGCGGCAGACTCTGAGCGCGACTCGGGGCGACACCAGCAGCAGCAGCGCGAGGGGTGGAGGTGGTGGTGGTGTTGGTGGTGGTGTTGGTGGTGGTGGTGGAGGTCGCGAGGCCGAGAGAGACGCACGAGGAGGAGGGAGGGAGGAGGGAGGCTGCGGCCATGGCCAAGCAGCCCGGGGCAGCAGAAGCCGCCGCGGCCGCCTCGGCTGGCGGAGCGGCGGGAGGCGGGGAGGGAGGAGGCTCGTCGCTGTTCAGCGACCCGCAGCACTCCCGCAAGCTGCTCAAGAACCTGCGCTCGTTCCGCGCGGACCCCATCTTCTGCGACTCGGCCCTGGTGGTGGACGGTGCCGAGATCCCCGTGCAGAGGAACCTCCTGGCGGCGGTCAGCCCCTACATACGGTGAGGGCCGACGGCCACAGACCCCCCCCCCCCCCCGGTGACAGGAGGGGGCCACCTGGGATCAGGGATTGCAGATCGCTGACAGGAGATGTGGCAGCGTGTGGGGTGACGGCGTTGGTCTCTGTGACGTGGGGGGGGGGGGAGCAGGAACCTGGGATGAGGCCGTCAATAACGGGGACCTGCTGGTTGGGGGTTCGCGGGATCTTTGAGGAGAGAGCCCGTGACGGGGAACCTGGTGGGACCTGGGATATGTGGCACGGGGGGGGGGAGTCAAACACCGGAGACCACCGACAGGGCGAGGATCGGGAGTCAGTGAGAGGAGGAACTTGATGATGGGTCTGAAGACCTGAGACCAGGAGATGAGGGATATGGCCCATTCGTGGGTTGGGGGAGAACTCGGACTTGTAACCGAGGTTCGTGAGATCTCGGGGCATGAGACGTCGCGGTCCTGGGATCAGTGATAGGGGCTGGTACCAAAGCGTCCTGGAGGTCAGGGGACCCGACGGGCCCCGAGAGATCTGGAACCAGAAACTGAGCGGGACCCGACGTGGGGACTGGTGCCGCTTAGAAGGGGGGGAGGGCTCCCCGGGACTCAGAGACTCATTTAGGGGGCCACGCCACCGTCGGACTAAACTCACCATTGCCCCCACCCCTCGTCGTCTCCATGCTGAGCGCAGCTCCTGCTGGGCGGTCACCCCCTCCCCTCGTGATGTAAACAAACCCCGCCCCCCCCACAGCCCCCCCACACCCCCCCACACCCCCCCACACCCCCCCCACACCCCCCCCCACACCCCCCACACCCCCCCCCCCCACAGCCATCACCCCCCCGCCCCCCCACAGCCCCCACCCCCAGCTCGCGCTCTGTCGCATGCGCCAACTCACGCATCTCACGCAGCTCGCATCGTCGTCGTCATCGGCCGTGATCAATCCACTGCTGGATGAAGGCCTCGGCACCCTCCGCGGCGTCCCCCTCCTCCCCCTCTGCCGCGTGGGACTCCGGCGTGGAGTGCCGTGAAGCCGCTCGCCTCTCTTCACGGTGGTGGTGGTGGCGGTGGTGGTGGTGGCGGCGGTGGCTGGGTTGGTGGTGGTGGCGGTGGTGGTGGTGGTGGCCACGGCCACGTCGTCTTGGGGCTGCGCGTGTTCTGCGCAGCACGCGCGCCTCTTGCTGCCCCCCCCCCCCGCTCTTGTCCCCAAGCACGCCAACAACAACAACAACACCCCCACCACCCTGCGTGCATTGCTTCTTGGTTCAGTTTCTCGTCAGTGTTGGTGCTGTTTCGCCACACTTCACCACGCTGCATTCGAGCGGGTTGGTGAATGCGGGGGAGCATAGAAGTACAGTTCAATCATTGGTTTTATTGCACCGCCCTCTGCTGCTCACAAACAAGATAGAAACAGTCGTACACCGTTTACATTGCGTACAGTCTCGTGTTATATCATTTAGCACGTGCACATTTAATACGCCTTTTAACTAACGATGCGTTCATGTGCGTTGATTGACAATATTTAAATATACAAGAGAGCCTCACCGAGGCCTCACCACGGCAGTCTTCCCATACGAGTACCAGTCAGGCCGGGACCTGCTTAGATTGCGAGATTTGACCAGCTCGGGCACGTCAGTGGTTCGTGTGAGTGGCTTTGCCGGGTGAGTGGGGCATGTGGCACGCAGCCGTGAATTCACATCCTGCCAGCTTCTCTCCCTAATTAAACCGAGAGCACGACACCACCACAACTACCTCACGTGATTTCTATCCTGACGTAAGGGGGCGATCAGCCATGTCAAAGAACAATAATAATAATGTCCCACGAGCAACTTCCTTCAAATTCGTCTGCTGCCTCCTCACAGTCTGGAAATTCATTTACTCCGCCGCTATCCCTGCTCCTGACTTCCTGCCCCCCCCCCCCCCACCATTCAGTCCCCGTGTACTGAAGGTTTCTCAACCCAGCGATCAAATCCAGCATGAGCGCAACCCAAAGTGGCACAGCGGCACGCTCGGCTGCGGTGCCTCTCACCTAGACGAGGCCTCTGCCGTGCACGCCACCTTCGACCCTTCCGTGTGCTCCTGTCTTGTGACAAGGAGCGGTCACGAAGAAACTCCTCCACAGATAGTGTGAGAGATGTTCCTCTCCCCGTGACACGCCCCAGATTCTGTGCCTTGCAGAGGTGGCAACCCGACCCCGTGGCCCTGCTGCCCGGTTCCCACGGTGAAATGGGGACGAGGGCTGCGTCTCTCCCCCACGCCCGCGGTAATCCGCTGTGGTGTCGTTTAGGGCGGGGGTTGGGGGGGGGCTCCTCACCCAGATGCCCTTAATCCAGATCCAAATGATCGGCTTGTGGACAGTGAGGGAATAGGGAGGCTAGGCGGGGGTGAGTGGTGAGTGGATTTTGGTGAGTGGCTGTGTGATGAGTTGTGAGGTGAAGCCGCACACGTGAATGGTACCTGGGGGCTGGTGCGGCGAGTGGCTGTGGGGATGAGTGGGCGGTGCGATGAGCGTCAGTAGTTGTGAGTGCCGGTGGTATTATGTATGTATATATGTTGAACTTCTTTTGCACCATACGTAGCCAACCGTGCTAATCGGAGTTGCTCCTTGACGAGATCAGCAAGGCATTGTGGTTCATTTGTGGCAAGTGCTTTGTGTGTAATGAGTGTAACTTTATCATCGATTCGTTCGGCAACTAGACGCTCGGCAAGCACTGGACGGACATAGTCGGATCCTGCAGTACCCGTCACAGCACGTGCCAAGAAAATGTGGTATTGTAGAGAACTGTACACGTGTATGGCGTTGCAGGGGCCGCTGCGAGTTACCTGCCGCCAGGTGGAATGTGTCGGGACACGCCGGTTCTGGCGCGATGGCCCACGCCCGCGGTGGCAAGGAAACCGTGACTCACCCGGCCGGGATGGGCGGGGACGGAGCGGAGGCGCGGGCGCATTCACCCCCCTAGCAACAGTGGCCGGCCGGGTCACGTTAGATCAGGCGAGGTTAGGTCACGGCCATGCAGAAAGCCTTCGCGACCTCCGTGCTCCTGCCAAAGACCTCCGCTTAAAGTCCCTCTCCCCTGAGGAGCAAGGAGATTGGCGGCACTGGGAAATCCAAACAAGAGCAGTAGGGCCCCAAGAGACTCGAGGGGCCCCAGGTACTTAAAACATCGGGTGTTCCTAATACGAGATAAAACAGAAAAATAATACTTCAATAATTTTTTTTCCGCAATGTGTCTATTACTATAATCATATCGCACAACTGCGATGTAATTAAGTTAGAAAACTTGTCTATGTACGATTATAGTAATTAGGTGATGCGCACCTAATGTGGGCTGCACTGCCACCAAACATGGACTAAGCTGAAGAGCCGCAGCCGCAGCAGCAGCAGCAGCCGCAGCAGCAGCAGCAGCAGTGCGGCAGTCAGCATTAGGCAAGGGCCCGTGGCGTGCGTCACGTGGTCTCACCTTGGAAAAGGCTGGCGAACGTGCAAAACTGGGGCTTGAGTCAGGGTTGGGGTCACGAGATACAAACCCGTGGGAGAGCTGTGGACGCGGGTTGGCAGGGACGATGGCGAGACCATCGGCAGACTCCACGAAACAAACAAACTCATCGGCCACAAGAGAGCAGCGGGCGATGACGTCATCAGCGACCCACTCGGAATCAACAGGCAGTTACCCCGAGCCTGTACGCACGCGTGGGTTGGCGCTTCGCGCGTGGGGACGCGCGTGAGAACACGCGGCGTCGGCGTCGACCCCCGGGGCGGCGTCGCGGCGAGACAAACGAGCCTCTTGTCGGCCCCGCCCGGCACGCGCGGCCGCCGGGCGGAGGACGCGGCGGGGCCGGCAGGGACTCGCGCGGCACCGCCAGGGCACCGCTCCGTGCTGCGCGTCTGCGGTATTCGCCGTTTTGACCGAACGCCCGTCGCTATCGTTGTCGTTACAGCACCAAGTTCAACTATTCGCCGCCCAAGAACAACGGCACGGTGTTCAAGATCACCCTGGAGGGAGTGGGTCTGAGCGTCATCCACGAGATCCTGGAGTACATCTACACGGGGGAGGTGGGCGACGGGGCTCGCATGCTTGCTCCAACGCACCGCTCATTCGTACAAGATGTGTCGGTGAAGAATTTCTCTCGATGAACGACAAAGGACAATTGTTGCGATATTGTCATCTGTATTGCAACTAATTAAAATAATGAGGGGGGGGGGGCGGTTTCCCACCTTCAGGAGGGAGGATGTGAGGGGCAGGCGCGATTTTTTAAAGGGGCCCGAGATTACCGGATGCGACCAAAGTCGTCGCCTGTTACAATTTCCGGTCCCCGTAACCGTCGTGACGCTCGCCGGTTCACGCTGCGCCCCCCCCCCCCCCCCCCCCCCCCGCCAGGTGCGCCTCAGCGAGGAGACGATCCAGGACATGGTGCAGGGAGCCGACCTGCTGCTGCTCACTGACCTCAAGGCGCTCTGCTGCGATTTCCTGGAAAGCTGCATCGTCGCCGAAAACTGCATCGGCATCCGGGACTTTGCGCTGCACTACTCCCTGCTGCACGTGCACCACGTGGCCACCGAGTTCTTGGAGACGCACTTCCGCGATGTGTGCGGCACCGACGAGTTCCTGGAGCTGTCGGCCTCCAAGCTGCGCGAGATCATGTCCCTGGAGAAGCTCAACGTGGGCAACGAGCGCTACGTGTTCGAGGCCGTGCTGCAGTGGCTCAAGCGGGACCTGGAGGAGCGCAAGGTGGGAGGAGGAGGGGTGGGGGGAGCGCCTGTCTTGTGCCAGCGTTGCCACTGCCAATCGCGGTCATTCTCACGATTGAGTTTACCGTGCGGCCGGGCATTGAATATCCAGCCGGGTCTGGCACCGCAGCTTCCAGTATGCCTCTGGTCGTTGTGATTGTGGCGGCTGTTCCAACTGCTGGTCACGTGCCGCCTGCTGGAGGCGACCCAGAAAGTGTTGGGCGAGAAGTGAATCCCCGCGCGGCCCACCACTGGGGCACTGCCCGTCCCCTCCCCTCTCACCCCCCCCTTCCCTTCTCCCTTTCCTCCCCTTTCACCCCTCTCTCGATCTGTGACCCTCGCCCTCCGGCGTGGCAGGTGCACATGAAGGAGGTGATGACGGCCGTGTGGCTCGACACGCTGGACCCGCACTTCCTGCAGGAGCAGATGCTGCGGGAGCCGCTGGTGCGCGTGATCATCCAGGAGTGCGCCATCCCGCTCACGGAGACGCGCAGCGGAGAGGCGCTGCTCTCCAGCTTCCGCCCGCGAGGCTACTCCGAGTGCATCGTCACCGTGGGCGGGGAGGAGCGCAGGTGCGACGGGGCCGCCGCACTCACTTCCGCGCTTGCGCCCCGCGGCTCTCCGACCCGGGCTGTCGGTGCCGCGCTTCTTAGGGGAAACGAACATTCGCCGAGCGAAACGTCGAACGGGGTGCCGAAGGGCTGCATGTCGGAGAGAGATGGGGCGCGTCGTAGAGAGAGGGGCGCGTCGTAGAGAGAGGACTCTGCTCGGCCCGCACGGGGTAAAACGGGGTTTTGGCGCGCCCATGCCAGAGATGCGATTATGATTCGGAGGCGGTAATCCCAGCGGAGGGTTTCTCATCGTTATTGATTTACGCTTCTGGGAAGGTTTGTGGCCTCCAAGCGCCGCTCCTCTCTGAGCGGAGTGGCGCGAGGGGGTGAACGCCGGCGTGTGCACTTCTCATGTCGCATCTTCACGCTACGAAAGCCTCCGCGGTGACTGTTCCCTGCGCGTGTTATAGAGGCGGTCGGACGCGGTGCTCGCCACCCACCCCCTCGTGCGCTCGCCAATAACGCTCGCCCCAACAGTCTGTTAAGGCTACACGGGGGATCTTTGTCTTTGTATGTACGTGCCGCCCGTGTCGGCGCCACTAGCTCCCGCAAGCCGACGGCGGCGGTGCGCTGCATGTGCCCGCTCTACGACCCGAACCGGCAGCTGTGGATCGACCTGGCGCCCATGGGCACCGCACGCGTCAACCACGGCGTCGTCTCCGCAGGTGCGCCCACCGGCTCGGGGCGGATGGGGGTTTCATAATGGCTGTGTCGGAGACACTGACCCGGCACCACTGAGATGTTGGGTTGGAATCCGGGTTTTGTCCTCATCCAGGAGTTGATAGACAATGACCGATGATGACGACGATGACGATCTTTACCACCGCGTAGGTGTTGGCGGTTGCGGCGCGTGTTCAGGGTGTGCCGCGTGTTGTTCAGCACCATGTCGATGGATTCGGTGCAGCACACGATATGATGATGATGATGGCGACGGTGATGATCGCTGCCGTTATTTCTCTCTTCCCATGTCCGTGGCTCAGAGGGATCTATCTTTGCGATCGGCGGGTCGGATGGCGATAGCTCCGTGCTGAGCTCCGGGGAGAAGTACAACCCCGACAACAACAGCTGGACGGCCATCGCTCCCATGCGAGAGGTGGGGTGGGGGCTCCGCACACCCACACTGGGGTCCCTCCCACCCAAAGGGTCTTCGTCATTAATCCCATGACCCCATCCACCCTCCTCGTCTTGTTTGATGGCTCCTTTAGCCCTGACTGTAACCCGCTAATCCGTAACCCCTAACCCTGACTAATCTCTTCAACCGTACCCCCTAACCCTAACTATAACCCTGACTAACCCCCTTATCCATCCCCTCTAACCCTTGACCCTTACTCTGACCCGATTTCCTGCGGCCAACCCCAGACGCGCATGAACTTTGGCATTGTGCACATCGACGGGATCCTGTACGTGATCGGCGGCGAGGACGAGACTTCGGAGCTGCTGTCGGGAGAGACGTACGACATCTACACCGACACGTGGTCGCTGCTGCCCGACATCACCATCCTTCGCAAGGTGTGCCATGCCGCTATCCCCCGCTCGACCCCCCCCCCCCATCCGCACCACCCCCCTTCCCCCCTCCCACCACCGAGCCAAAAGCCCCCTTGCCGCCGCCCCGTGCCTCGGCACCAGGTGGCGATGGAGCAAGAGACGCGACCCGGGAGGGAACCGACCCGGAATGAGAAGCTGCAGGGGGGGCGGCCTTTCGGCAGTATCTTTCTGCGATAGAACGACGGGTCACGTGACTTTGCGAACTCACATGAGGTCCTAACATCGACGCGTGCACCACGAGCGTAAGAACATTGACCTTGCTCTGCAAGTCGGCCAACCGTTGCGTCGCCCGGTAACTCGCACCCACCCCCCCATTTATCGCCACCCTCCTCCTCATCCCCTCGTTCCCCCTGTTGCTCCCCACTCTCACCCCCCGCCAGATCGGTTGCTATGCGGTGATGAGGAAGAAGATTTACGCCATGGGAGGCGGCAGCTATGGGAAGCTGTTTGAGTCGGCCGAGTGCTACGACCCCAAGACGCAGCAGTGGACGGCGATCTGTCCCCTCAAGGAACGGCGGTGCGAGCCCTACTCCCAGCCCGGCCTGGCATCCACGATCCCTTATCCCCCGATCCTGGTCCCTGATTCCTAATCCCCGATTGACTGATCTCTGATCAACCGATCCCCTAATCCCCAGAAATCTCGAATCCCCCAATCCCCAACCCAAACGGGCTGCGCTATGCGGTTGCTGGTAGATTGCACTTTGATCCCAGAGGTCAGGTGACCGGCATGTAACGTGCACGTAAACACAGAGGGGTTGATGGCGGTTGCAGGTTCGGCGCGGTGGCGTGTGGCGTGGGCCAGGAGCTCTACGTGTTTGGGGGCGTGCGGCGTAAGGAGGGAGAGAACGTGCCCGAGGGACAGATGGTGACGTGCAAGTCGGAGATGTACCACGACCAGGTCAAGCGGTGAGTCACGCGCGCATATGCGCACGCCCACTTGCGTGTACAACCGCACGCACGACCACACACATCCACGCACGCACGACTAGACATGTGCGTACAACTTTACACACGTGCGTACAATCACACAGATGTGTACAACCACACACACAAACGTGTAAATACACACAATGTACACACACACACAAAACCGTACACACGCAAAACCGCACACACGCACGTAGAACCGCACACTTGCCTGCGTGATCCCAAACTTTTCCCTCACCCACCTGCCCCCTCTGCCCACGGTCGCCCCTCCCCCGCGCTTGCGTGGCCCAGGTGGACGTACCTGACGGACCAGATGCTGAGTGTGCAGTCGGCCGCCTCCTTCGTGTACGGCGCCGTCCCCATTGGCGCCAGCATCTACCTGGTCGGGGACCTCGACACGGGTGAGCACTCATCTCACATTCGCCCTGCGCTCACCCTGCGCTCACCCGTGCGCTCGCCCCGCGCTCGCCCCGCGCTCGCCCCGCGCTCGCCCCATACTCGCCTCACGCTCACTCCCACGCTCCTCCCCTAGAGCCAGGACCAAATTGGCAACAAGGCCGATCAATTGACTAAAAGTTATAATCAACCTGCGTTAAAATGGCGGCTGCCCCTACAAGCTATGCGCAGCCTGACAGGGCCGATGGTGTCGCCAAGCCCCACCCAGCACCTCCCGTCCAGAGGCACGCGTGGGATTGGCGAGGCAACTTTGTTTTGAATCCAATTCGTCCAGCAATCAAACCTATAATCGCGAGATGACTCTTACTTAAGTAATGGGACCGCCAGGCTCTCATCATCATCCCTCTCTGCCCTGTCGCGATCCTCCCTCGCGATTCGCAGGGACTCAGTACGACTTTGTGCGCGAGTACCGCCGCAACACGGGCACGTGGCACCACACCAAGCCGCTGCTGCCCTCCGACCTGCGCCGCACCGGCTGCGCCGCCCTGCGCATCGCCAACTGCCGCCTCTTCAAGCTGCAGATGGAGCAGGGCCTCTTCCGCATCCGCGTGCCGCGCTGACGGCGGCGCGGGGCGGCGGCGGCGGCGTGGAGAGAAAGAGAGGGAGAGAGAGGCGGCGGCACCGGAGGGGACCACCGGGGCTGTCCCCGCCACTAGCCAAGATGGCATCGCCGCGGGATAGCGGGAGGATGACTTGTGGCGAGCACCCGAGGAGACGGGCGGTGTGGCTGGGCGGCGTGCCCCTCCAGCCAATGAGTGTCCGGCCGCGCCGTGTACAGCAATTTTTCCCGGCGCTGAGCGGATGACGCGACGCTCGCGTAGCTCCGCCAACGCCAGCACGGTGCCGCCGGTGCCGATTCAATGATGGAGAGATGGGGCCGGGCTTGGCACGCTTCTAGAGTCGCCTCCCTCGATCTTCCCTCCCCACTCCGCTCGCCGCCCGGTGACGTCGCCCTCAGAGGGCTCGACATTCACCCTCGGGCTGGGGGTCGCTCGCCAGGCCGGGGGCGGAGGTCAGCTTACGCATGACAGGCCGCTCCGCGCTGTCGGAGTTAAGATGGCACGCTCGTAGGGTGAGCATTTGGCGACACGGGTTGTCATGGGTCAGTGGCGAGCCGGACTGGGTCGCTAAGACGAAGGCAAAAGCGCCGGCTCCCTGTAGGGGGCTGCCTCTACGAGGAGACGGGCAAGAGTGAAACCGGCGCGGTGGACCGGCCGGTGGTACGGTGGGGGCGAGGGTTGGGGGTGGGGGGCGAGGGTTGGGGGGTGGGGGGGGCGTCGTTGGTCCGTCGTTCAATGCCAGCGCCCGTTGGTGACCGGATCGGGCCGGCTTGCCGTCCGAATGCGCTTCGTAGATCTCCATGGGGCAAGCTCCCGTTTGTTTGGTTTGAGGTCCCCTTGGATTTACCGCTCCTGCGTATGTTTCCGTGGTTGCGCCGTTTAGCCCTCCGAGCGCTTTTTCAGGATCTCCCGGCACGCGGAGTGAAACGTCAGACATGGAACAACACGTGGCACAGCATCAACACATGTGGCAGAGCGACCATTGTCGTGCGGTCCTCCCTCCGCTTGTGTTGAACGGTTTTTGCCGATGTCTCGTGCGAGGAAGGCGTCTTGATTTGGAGCACGGAGCAGCGCACCGCCCCTTGCCACAGGAACGGCCCCCGCAAAACGGCGTCGCAGAACTACTACTCAGTCCGCTTTCGTGGCTTCGTTATATGCACGCTACTCGGGGTGCGCATACTATACACGCCCGGCATAGATTGGTGCATGTCGTTAAAAGCTTAACGATTAATTCTGAGAGCTTGATTCAGCAGATTTACGCCGTGAGCCAATTGCGCCAGGGATGTTTGGGTCACTGGTGATTGGGCTGGAACCATCCCCTCGCCACGTTGGAGGACCCGGTTTTGAAGCATAGGTGGGGGCAACGTGCATTTGTTCGGTGTCTCCAACCCCGAAGCAGCTCCTGGAGGAGTCTCCGCTTCGTAAAAACAAGTTGAGAGTCATTTCCCCCACGTCAAAAAGGAACTTCCCCCTCCACGTAGCGCATGCTCTCTGTCACATATAGCCATCATCGCTATCATCACTGTCGCCGTCATCATTAGTACAAGCCCTTCACTTTCGCCCCATGTAGAGCACGCTGTCATATGATCGCCATGATGATAGTCATCAGGACCCAGTAAAGTTCTGTTCCTGTAGAGAGTGCTCCGTCTCACATCGTCGCCGTCATTGTCATCGCTTGTCTGTACCTCTTCCTTGGCCCTGGTGGTTTGCGGTGCCCCTACTCGGAGGTTGACCCTCGGCCGTTAGAGATGAGCACCGCGAATCGTCACGAGAGCCGCAGCCACACGGCAGCATCGATCCCCGGGCCCCCCTCGCGAAACCACAGCACCCCCTTGACCCCCCACTAAACCCACCCCCCTCACCGTATCGCACCCCCAGCACCCTGGTGTAATGCGGGTCCTCGATATCTCGGGCTACTGCGGGGGTGGGCATTTAAAAAAACATTTTTATATATAAAACTATGGCAAAACAGAAAATCAAAACCCCTATTCCAGAACGATGCTCGGCGGTGCCGTTCCTTTGGCACGAGTCTGGCGTAGCGTCGGCACCAATACGCGGCGGGACAGTGAGAAGCACAAGGGATGGGGGGTGGGGGGTAGTAACGCACAAGGGACGGCCAGAGGCAAGCGCCAGGGCCACGAGCGCCCATTTCTGGGTTGGCCGCCGGCCCGGTCGACAAGGAATTCCTCAGAGATGTGGCGGTTTTCGAAATCACTTTGTGTGTAATCATGTGATCGCCTTGGAGCAGGGGTGAGAACCTATGGGCCCCCGCGGCTTCATTCCACACAGCCCACAACTTCATTTGCCATGGCTTGTGGACTTCATTCGATACGACCTGCCATTTTACTTGACGCGGCACACGAACGATATTTATCCACTGCTGAAAAACTCTACGGGCCCTGGAGGGTGGAACGTTTTCGACCACCTGGAAATGCTGTGCTAATATTAGAACCCACGGTCACCTCTGTCGTACCCTGCTACAGACAGAGGTGCATCGGCATGCGTGCGTGCCTGCGGTTGCTCTCCCCAGGGCATTTGAAAGTCCTATTCGGGCTTCAGTCAGTAAAAAGTTCCCCCTCCCTGCTGTATCTTGAACGAAGCGAGCGTGGGGGACGATCGTTTGGTCGAGCGACGGGAGCGTGAGCTCACGGCGCAACTCGTTTACGGACAACGGCCCGACTCCTCGCTGCTCTCCGCTCGGCCACAACGCGACGCCGACTGCCGCTATCATTCCGTAGAGCTGCTGCTGCTGCTGCCACTGTTGCTATTAACCGCGGGGCTTACCCGTGGCTGGCAGCACATCGTTTTTTTGCCCAAATCGTTTTTTTGCACTGCAGAGGAGCGGCGTTTCTGTCTGGAGTGGCAGAGTCTGGAGCCATCATTCCCTCACGTGTTGACGGAAAGACGACTCGCGACGAGGTGACCATTCCGGCTCGTGGGACTTTGCGTTCCATCTCACGGTTACCGTTGTTTTGTTTACAGCGCGCGATACCGGTCGAGTGGCGCGCTTGCCGCTGCCCGCACGCGCCGCGTTGGAGCGCGTCTCCTTGCGCCGCAGCGGCGATCGACTTGAAAGTGCCTCGACTTTGTAGAGTAACGTGCGCACTTGCAGCAGCCCGCCGTGGGAAAGAGAGAGGCCCTGGGCAAGCGAGTGGGCCCCGGGGGAGCGAGTGGGACCTGGGGAAGGGGAGAGAGCCCCAATGTGGGTGGGCGAGGGATTGACCCAGCACGGGTGAGGGAGACTGGGTGAGCAATGGAGACCTTGGCTGGTTGAGAGGAACTTGACTTTTTAAAAGAAATTTGCACTCCACCCATGAAAAACATGCAGCTGCTGCCATTTGTCCAAGTGCAGTGTTGATCTAAGTTTAACGAAGTAGGTTCCAGACAAGTTAATTTAATACCCAGATGGGCTGAACATTGTAATAGTACTATGTAATTTGTTGCATAACAATGTAAATCCAAATATTCAAAATAGTAAATAACACTTCTATAAAACTTGACTTTTTAAGTATTATTGGCTTAACTGACAGAGCCACTCAAAAAGCACATCTGCTCTCGGCTCCCTCCCAAGTCCTCAACGTTTTTTTTACTGAATATTGTCCCTGTGATGATTCCCCCTCGTGGGAACAAATTCACGACGATGAACGGGGCAGTGCGAGGCGCTCATCACTGGAATAACATTGACGACTCGCGGGGGTGTTGAGTGATTGAGTTACATCTCGGCAACGAAAACAGAGTTTGTTGATTGGACTATAGAGCACGCATCCTCGGGTTGTCGTGTGACCTTTGCCTATTCTAATTGGACGTTTCCATCCAAATTTGTGTTAGATTTGGTGACGGTTGCCCTAAATTCTGCCCGGTTTATCGTCGCGGCGTTCAGGTTTTAGTGGAAGAGGACCGAGTTTTACAGGGAGCGCGCGAGCAGCGCGTGGGTTGAGAGGGCTGCACAGCTGGGCCTGGTCTAACCGACAGCTGGTGAGTGTGGGGACCGAATCCGCTGTGCGATATGAATTTAACGCTTTTTAAAATTCCATTTTGTTTCCGCTCGGGGCCAAACCCGTGACCCCTCTCGGGGGTTCAAGAGGCGGACCACCCCGAGCGAATGTCACTCCGATCAACCGCGTGGGTGGCGTTGCTGAAACAGCGTGAAAGTCGAAGTGTGGGGTTTTATTTTTAGTTGCGGTGATAATTACTAATGTAATTGCGTACAAAAAGTTCAAAGCAAACCGATGACTCGGTACAGTATTTAGATGCGAGCGGGGTGCGGAGGTCGCCTCCCTCTCGCACGACTCAACTGCCGTGAGGTTCAACGATCGTAGCAATTCAGCCTCTCGATGACATCCAGCACAGCGCCATTTGATTCAACGGAGAATCCCAGGCTCAGCTTCGTCATCCCGGACAAAAGATGTTGATGATTCCGGGGCTGAGCCGGGTGGGTACTTGAACGGGGAGACTGCTTGGGGAAGAGTAGGTGCCGTATGCTTCACGGTCAACATTAAAAGTCCAATGACGTCTATCGCCTGAGTGGGCCATTGTGTGCTGGCGTCACGGTCCAATTGGATGATGCATTACATAGCAATCAACACTTTCCGACGCAAAATTTGGCAGCACTCTCCCTGAGAAAGAGTCATGAGACTCAGAGAGGCTCTTCTGGGTAAATAGGTGTCAATATATAAATAAAATAAAAGGCAACGTTTGTATAGGGTTTGCATCGCTCTCAAACGGTCATCGATTCTCACGGACGGACGATGCAACTGCTGGTCACCGAGACCGACGGGATCTCTTCTGCTGAATCACCACGCGTGTGCGTGTGCGCGTGCCTGGCGGTGCGTGCGGTGAGTCGTGTCTACTCGGAATGTTACTACGCGAGAGGCCATAGTGGAGTGGTCACACCAACCCATTACCAACATATGCAAGTGGGGGAAAGCATCGACGCGTCGTTGGCACCCAGGGCGCAATGCCTCAGTCTATTCCTGGGAGACCGAGGGTCGGTGGCACATGAGTCGGAGTATTCACAGCCAGAGGGACCCTGGATGCGGATGCGGTGAGGAAATGTGTGCCGGGTCATCGACCCGGAGCCGGCGAGATGCAGTGCTGCTGGCGGCGTCATGATACTCTCCCCCACGCGGGCAGCATCAGCTCCACCATCGCGTCGCCTACCCTCGCCGTAGTTGCCCATGCGAGGCTCCGCTCGGAATAACAACGCGTAGTCGACCACGTGACGACGGAGATAGTTTAAAATAAAACGTCTTCACCACTTCTCCCGTCTTCGCGTCTCTCATTTCTGTCGGCGTCATTTCTTTAACTTCATCCCGATTGCGCTATCGGAATCGCGTTGTCTCAGTGTCCGATCCATTTGGAGCAGTGAGACCCACCCACCCCCGTGTGAGAGAACGGCCCATGGAAGCAGATATCACAGCGCTCCCTTTAACATGAAATCCCTTCAAGTGACCTCTGGTCCACACAGAACGAAGCCCAAAGGAGGATACAGTATCACACAGCTACTGTCACCTCTGGGTGGATCCACACGTGCAGCAGCAGCGCTTTCTCACCCACTGCTACAGACTAATGACGGTCAAACCGATATTTTTCATTCTAGGAGCTAGAATTGAGTCAAATAGAGTGCAGAACCAAACTTGAATGTAATATATATTTGCGTGCAGTCTTTGGCGAGCGGGCTGAGACCAACACCTCACTGCATTTGAGAACAGTTTCCTGAGTCGTAGGTAAAACCCGGACTTAAACAGAGATCTCTGTAATTGTCAGTTCAGCGCTCAGATTTAATTTGGTGTTTAGTTTCAGACAACCTTGGAGCCTGCGCCGCCACTCAACTGTGTAATGGCACCGCGATGTGATGACGGTGCAGGAGAGCGGGGGGGTGTTGTTGGAATGTTTCTTTATTTCGCAAGCATCATCCACATTTCCACCAAGAGGCTGGAACCGGGAAAGGTCCTGCGCTGGCAACACCAGGAGAACCAAGTCACACCACCACAACCAACTCTCAAACCGCAAAAACAACGCACGCAATCATGACATCCACACCATTTATACCATCAAAACACTGAGACCACCAACTACACTCACACCAACAGCCACGCCGTCGTCAGAGCACTCGCACCACCAATACCGCTCGCACCAGCAGGGCGCTCAAACCTGACGCAAGCGTTTGCAATCCCTCTACAACCGGCACTGCCGTTTGCTGGGCAACTTTACGTGCAGCAGGAGTCGCGTGCAGACCAACACGGTGCAAAAACCACCAGATAGCCACACGCGGGTCTTTTAAGCCTGATCCAAGGCTGGGCTTGTGTACAAGTGTGAGTGATTTAAAGTGGTGATGACACCGCCACTTCGTGCCAAATGACGGTTGTGATTTATAACAGGAAATCTTATCATTTCGTATGGCTGATGATGATGTCGTGCAAGAGCTGGAATTTTACACCGAGGTAGTCGAGCCAGATAATTGCATCAAGAGGAGCAGAGTGGTGAACCGCGACTGTGATGAATCGGCGTTACACACCCCATGGGTCCTGTGCTGGGTGGTGACCACAGTTGCCGCACACTGCCCAGAGTTAACTTTCCATTTATGCATCATCATCATCAGGTATAGCCACCTCTGCCATGGCTTGTGGATGTGGCTCAAAGTTGTGGCTCATGAGCACATCGGCAGTGCACCGAGTCGACTGGAGACGCCGGGTCGTGGCAGCGGTTGGCGATGAGAGATCACGAGGCTAGCAGCCGCCGACACCACGGGCTGACTTGGCACGAGTCACATGACTTGTGACATCACAATACCAGTGCTTTGCAATAGCGCTCGCTACACTCACCACGCCGTTCGCACCACCGCTACCAAGGTTGACATGCAAACAAGCACTCGCAACACATTCCAAGATTCCCCACACACGCCGCCCTTCACAGGCGACTTCACTTTCCTCACCGGGGGATAAATACCCTTCCGCACCCCGGTCCCTCCTTGCCCCCGAGCGAGGGCGGGGCCCGACTCCCCAGCCAGGACCCCGCCACTAGCCAATTCATTACCGCTAACGAGCGTGGTGACAAAACCTGAGGCCGATAGAAAAATAACACGAGTACAAAACACGGCAGTCTTGGGAACACCGCATCGCCGCACCTCGACACAGCTCCGGTCCACCCCCTCTTCCATCCCGCGCCCATCAGAGGCAGAAGTCCGACTCTAGTGGTGCCCTCTCTTAGTCTGCCTGTCCGGGCAAGCTGTCAATCATTAACAAAAACACACGTGGAGCATTCACATTGCCCCGCTCTTGAGACTTGTGGCCGCGTCAAGACAGCCGCAGCAGCGGTAGCCGCAGCAGGAGGAGGAGAAAGCAAAGGAGGAGGAGATGGAGGCAGTGGAACCTGGAGGCTTCTGCAGACCCCACACCATTGCTGCAGAAGCTCTTTGACAAAAACAGAAAAATCTCCCTTCACTTCGCCAGCTCAAGGTTCCCTGGAAGCCGCCTGTCCTCGCGGCGCGTCGCGCTCGTGGTGGCGCTTCACGCCTGTGATGGTGCCCCGGGCCAAGCCGCTGCCGCCGCCACCATCGCCGCCACCGCCGCCACCGCCGCCACGGTAATTTCGTTGCGTGGCGCGCATGCCACCGCCCGCCGTTGTCATGGGCCGAGTGCCGGCCGACGTAGCGAGGGCTAGGGCCGCAACCTGGGGTGGGGAGACACGCGGACACGAGAGACGCGGGGATGGCACGGTAAAAGACCAGCGGGTGTACTGGCGACGATCAACAGTGACCGTGTTCCCATTAGTGCCGAGACGACTCGTTGATTGTGGATTCATCGATTAAATATCATAATCGACAGTACGAAGTGAGGCCGATTACTCGGGCTGCTTTAACAATGGTAGCCACCCCACGTTATTTACCAAAGGTGGGAAACCCCCTACAAACACAATCCAGCATCCCGCGCAGAACCACGCGCGTGTGCCAAGGGTGGCGTTGCACCTCGCCTGGCACAAGCGCCGTGGCGACATCACTGCCACTTGGTGGCGAATGGCGTTTGTGGTTGTTGTTTGGGGTGGCGGTTTGGGCGGGGCAGGGAGGGAAAGCGAAGAGGAGGGCCACTGCTGCACGCACCTCTTACAACTGCTCTCTCCTCCATCGTCGTCCGGAAGCTGCAGAGGAGGAGAATCCGACTTCCGCTTGAGGCTCTTGCTCTCCGCGTCACTCGCGTCGTCTCTTCACAAGCAGAGAGGAATGCGGCAACATTAGTCGAGTCGCCCTCACGAACGTCTCTGGGGTAGTGAAGAGAAATGGGAGGTGAGGGCGGGGAGGTTATAAGAAACCTCACCTTTGCCGTTCATCATCCTCCCTTGGGGCCGCCCTCTCCACCGCACCATGTGACCACCACGTGACCCCGGCATGGTCGGCTTCCCCCGTGGTGCCACCGGCCTCGCCGTCGCTGCCTCGCACAGCCACGGTTGCCAGCGCCTGCTCTCCCAACCGTTCTCCCTCCGCTCCCTCAGCTCCACACTCCTCCTCCTTTCAGCAAGTAAAATTATGACATTCACATTTGGTATTTGAGCCATTCTTAAAGCGCGAGGCTATCACAAAGGAAGGTTCCTCATTTGAGTAACTTGCGAGTGAAGATTTCGAATTTGGAAAATTTGGAGCCCGACACCGGCACACATCGCCTTCCACGTTTCAAATAATGTGACGGGATCTCTAACGTCCGCTGTGTGGCACACAGTGCGCTGTAGCATTCATGGTTAATACACCCGCGGTATTAACCAGGGCAGCCGAGAGGCTCGATCCGCGATCCTCTGCAAGATGCGGCAATCGCGTGCCCGCTCGGCCCATGCGACCTGCAACAGGCCAGGTGGGGAGAATGACACCGCATTCCCAGCGAACTAAGCAAATGCAACACGTGAGGCCGTGGCAGCACGCATGTTCATCGTTTACCCGGCAGCGGCCGGGTAAACGGGGAGAAAACACGCAGTGAGCGGGGTCAAGGGTTGTGTTTTGCCAATCCTATTTTTCCAATAAAATTACGGAGAGATTCGGCACCTCAGGCAGAACCGCCGCTGCTGATGGCAGGGCGGCACGCGCGCCCTCCAGGATGGCCAGATAGGAGAAGCGGAGCTGCTCGGGCGTCTGGATGAGCCCCATGCGCGCGTGCCGCATCTGCAGCAGCACCTGGCGCACATCCGGGGGGACGAGACCCTCGCGCGTGCCCTCCACCTGTGGGAGAGACGCGCCGACGCGCCCCGGCTTCCGGTGAAAAAAAGAGGACATTTCGCCCATTGACACACATCGACGAATCATTTCACTCGGTCATTACGTAACACGAACTTATCGCTGCCTCGCCGCTCGCTTTATCGCTCGCTCGCCGATCGAGGCCGGGCCGAGACGCCAACGAAGCCGCGCGTGTCACGGTGGAGCCGGCGCCGGCCCATCTCGCGTCGTACCAGCGCCAGACACGTGTCCACCAGGCAGAACGTCCCCGAGCGGCCGATCCCGGCGCTGCAGTGCACGACCAGCGGCCCGAGCTCCGGCGACAGCGACGCCGAGGCCCTGACCCGGAAGAGGAAGTCGAGGAAGTGCGTGGGGGATTCTGGGACTCCAAAGTCGGGCCACTTGGTGTAGTGGAAGTGCAGAACCGTCCGAGTCTCTTTGGTCTGCATGGGGAAAACCGTGACGTGGGCGTTGACTCACACGCCAGCCACGGTGGGGGCAGCGCCGCCGTGGCCGACCGGGAGCGCGCTCGGCGCTTATTGCGGAGGTTCGCGGTTCGGGCCCCGTGGCCGCCCCGGTTAATACTGTGAGTGCAGTTACCATAAATACTACGCGCCATCTGCTTCACACTGAACATTAAAGACCCTGCAATGTTATGCACCGTAGAGGAGGCCGCGTGTGCCAGCGTCACCATGAGAACCACTTTACCATATTTGCAACTACGACTTGCAACTGTGGTTTAATTGTGAATTTGCAAGTGTAATTTATCCTCTCTCTAGAAATGTTTACTGTTTCTGTAATTGTTTTCACGCATTATTCTCTTGTTCAAGTTCACGTGTGATTTTAAAATGTATCCCTCAATGTAACTTCTCCTGTAATGTTTGCATACACATACACACATGCACGCACACAAAGATCCCCTGTATAGCCTTAACAGACTGTTGTGGCAAGTGCTGTTAGCGAGCACCTGTGAAGACCAGAAAGGCACACGAGCAGGTACTCATTTGAGGCTAAGGGAGGCCCAGGACCAGTTCACATAATCGTCACTGATGTTGGCCGTGAGCGAAAATCAAACTCGGGTGGCCAGGTTCGTGGTGCAGCGCGTTAATCGCTACACTACCGCTCCCCACACACACACACACGAGCGAACACGTGCACGCACCGGCAGGAAGTGTAGCTGGAGCTCGCGGACGGTGAAGAAGGGCGTGCGCTCCTCGCCCAGCAGCGTGACGACCGGGGAGTCGCGGAAGCTCTTGGGCGCGTCCCTCCGCTTGGGCCAGTACTGCTCACACTTTTTCTGAGCACGCAACGTGCAAGGAGCGGTGGGGCACAGACGGCCACGATTAACTGCAGCCATAGTGAGCCATGGCCTATCCACTGCCGGACGTAGGCCTTCCCACACCGCGGCCATACATTAGTTGAGTTTAAGACGATTACTTGGCTGAAACTTATAATATAATCAACGAAATTGCGTTGTGGCCGATTACTCAGGCGACTTAAACCCCCTCCCCTTCCAGCCGCACACCAGAAGCCCCGCACACCACCTCCCATCCAGTGGCATGCGTGGGAACAAAATCGAGCCACTCGTATGCGTGTCGTTCGTGTCTATCTGATAAGTTAAGCCATCGGAAGATTAATCGATTACTCAAACAGCCCGGCTGTACGATCAACGGTCCACTCTGCCCAGTAGTTCGGTGGATCGTCGCAATGCAAGATAATCCTGGGATCAAGGAAAATTAGAGCCGCGTTGCCACACGAGATTACAGTCACAAATACATTGCGCTTGCAATGAATAATTATAAATGACACGATCACAAACTGGAACGGACCCCAAGTTGTATTCAGTGTTGCGGCAGCCTCTAGTGGTCACAGGGATTAGGGGAACTCGTTACATCGAACCGACAAGGAGTTTACAAACAATTGAGTTGACAAAATCAAGCCGCTCATATGCGTATCGTGAGCTGGAGATGGTATGGCAGCCAAAGGAAGGAGCACGGCTCTGAGATGACAACCAGCACCAAGACGGAGCGCTGAGACCACACTGAGTTCATGCGCCACAGCGAGATGAATTGTGGTGTCGCAGGCGACGGCGTGGGGAAGGCCTTTGTCCAGCAGTGGAAAGACCGTGGCTCACTACGATGAGGATGACGACGAGCAGTAAATGGGCGCGCGTCTCACCACGTTATTCTCTACCGTGCGGTTCAGCATCACGATGGCGCGAGAATTCTGCTCCCACACCATCTGCCAGAAGTGTCCGCACGTGTTGGGCAGCGGGGCCTGCGGGCACAGGGCAGGGGACGGGGCGGGAGGGAAAGGTGGCGCATCCCACGAACGAACGCAGCTGGCGGACCTGGTCGTACCCCGTAGCCCAGGAGGCAGCGTTGTCAACCCAGCGAGTTTGTCGCCAGGCCGAGCAAAACGTCCGGGTTTCCCGAGTGACAGCGTTGCCACGAACGTGACACAGATGCGCGAGTGATTCGAGGTGTGTGTGAGGCATCCTGTATCGGTTCACCGTGAGCGAAACTCAGTAAATTGTCTCGCGGTTTGGGAAGCGTTGGCCTGGTGGTTCCCGTGCTGCGCTATGAACCCGGCGACCCGAGTTCGATTCCCGCTCATGGCCAACATCGGTGACAAATATCTGAACTGGTCCTGGGTGTCTCCTAGCTCGAATCAGCCTTATGTGAGTACTTGGTGTAGCGTGTATAAAAAAATTAGCACTGGGGAGCCAAAAGCGGCCGGGTGTGGTGCTGGCCACCCACCCCGTTAGATGCTTTGCTAGCAGCACTTGCACCAAGTCTTTGTCTAGCGGTGATATTGTTGACGACTTGGTAGCGTCTATCCATCGACCCCCAGCGACTGCTTGAGGTGAGCTTGTCGGCTCTGGGCTTTAAGGGGTGGGCACCACCGCCAGGTGGTTCACCCAGTGGCGACCCCAGGTGGGATTGACCTGACCTAGTGGTCACCTGCGCCAGAATGTAGCTGCGTTGAGCTTGTGGCACCTGCACCAGGCTGGCGTTGATGTAGTCGCCATCTCCACTCTGCAGTTGCACGCGGCTGTGGTCAACTGGGGGGGGGGGGGTGGAGGTCACAGTTGTAATCATGAGGTAATGCATGTGTGTGCCGTGTGTGCAAGCATATGTACACACACACACACCGGTGACATATTGCCCATGTAGCCTACACAGGATGTCGGGTCAAGTGTTATCCATGATAACCTATGAAGGCCTGCACGGTACATGAAGGGGTGGATGGGAGGTTTACAGGACAGATCCAGGTGTTATGCATTGACTGAGATGATGTTTGATGGATGCGGCACCTGTGCCACCCCACTAACAATAACGTCAACCTGTAACGCACCGCGCAATATTTGCTCGCTCTCGAACAGTGAAAAGGACTCAGAGGCATGTGGAGGAACCACAGAGAAGCAGCAAGGCAGGAGTCACGATGCGAGCCGGCGCACTAATATGAACATGTTTTCAGCGAGTTAAGGAGTGTTTGCATGTAGGAGGAAACCGTAGTACATGGAAAAAACCCACGCATGTGTGGGGCAAGAACACACCGTCCCATACAGATGGAACAGGTGAGGACCACAGCGCTGGGATACAGGCAGCCACATACAAGGGGGCTACCGGGGCCTGGCTCGTAGCGCCGTGCGAGCAGCGACGCCCCACGCGTCCACTCACAGGGGCTGACGTCACGATAGCGGTTGCGCCGGCTGTTCTCGGGCCGCTTGGCGGCCCTGTAGGGATAGGCGGCAGACTCCTCGCGCAGCTCCTGCCGATAGCACGGGGCGGGGGGGCGCGGGGGTAGAGAGCGGAGGCGGTGGTGTGAGGAGCGTGGAAGGGCAAGGGTAATCACGTTTCGAAACAAGGCATCGAATAAACTCCCCATCAAACTGGGACGACTACTTCTTAGTACGATGATTCTCAAGTCTCACCGCGATGATTCTTCAGTCTCACGATGAGGATTCTTCAGTCTCACCCACGATCCTTCACGTGTCCATCAGTTGGAATCTCTGCCTGTCCAATCCCTCGCTACCAGCTCTGTGCGACGATGGCACAAACCCATGCCAATGCAAATGCCACCGCGGCGCTACTACTACTATAACCGCGCGGCCGTTTCATGGGAGCATTTCTGCGAAACGGTTGAGCGCAGGATTCCTGGAACCCGGGTGGTGTCTTGGCACTCCGCGGCTGGGAGGCTCGTGACAGAGGGGAACACAAATAACAATTCCTTCATACGGGAGGGGGGCGAGGCCCTGCTGGGACCAGCAGCCTCCTTCTCAGAGGAAGTGCCGCGTCGGGACATATACCTTGCAATTCGTCAAACAAGCTGGTTCTAGCATGATGAAGAATAACACTTCACGTGATGCTTCACAATGCCAATGATTATTACGGATATCCACTTTCTTGTTCGCTCCAAGCTACACCGCGGTCATTAATAATTATATTATTTATTCTATAAAGTGCCTTTCATATCGAAATATCTCAAAGCAATTTACATAAAAAAACGACCCGTGACTCACATCAATTATCGGGCTCAATAATCCATGTGAGTCGTGAAGAGACCGTGAAAAAGTGTTACAGCCTCTACTCTTCGCACACAAAATCTCGCGCAAATAACATTATTATTATTGTTATTATAATTACATCATTGGTAGACCATGTAAAACCAAACGTTTTGGCTCTTTACACTTTTCCGGGAAATCGATAAATTTCCTCAGTCGAGACGACTCAGACTTTATCCCCGGGGACACAGCAAAGTCGGTATCTGTTGTTCGTTGTGAGATAACAATTTCACCCCGACCGCGACGTAGGCTCCAACCACAGCCAACGAGAATGCATGGGGGGAGACTTAGTCCCTCACTTACCAACTCAACCAAAAAGCGCACGCGTTAATGTGCTCAACCAAAGGAGGGGGAGCAGCGGTAAAGGGGGAGACCTGAATGGCAATGGAGGGGGGGGGGGACTTCATCCAGCAGTGGAGAAAGGGTTGTGCGATGAAAAAAAATTGTGCCGATGGAAGAGATGGCCAAAATGATGTCCACCTAATGCTTTTTGTCCAGCCTTGTCGCACCCGGCCCTGGAATGTCCCACTCACACCACCACCACCCCCGTTGCCATCATCCCTTCCATGTGTGATGCATCCTGGCTGAGCCCACTTTTCTCAACGGCCGAGATGGTGGTGTCTCTATCTTGCACGTCTTCTCAATTCCAAGTTTCCCTCACGGTGGAACTCCCAGCGTGCATGCTCTCCACGCTTCACTGCGAAGCGAAGCTCTCTCGTGGCCTCTGCCATAGGCTGCGTTTCAAGTCCACGTCATGGCAGCCAAAATGCCCCGATTGAGAACATGCATCTATCGGAGTGTTGGTATGTCACTTTTCATTCATGCGTCGTCGTCGTAATCATCAGCCATGCTCTATCCACTGCTGCATGAAGTCCTCTCCAAGCCGCCGCCACCTCTCACAATCCAGCGATGTAACAATCAACTGAACAACCTGGACGTAAATGATTTTGTCGCTGTTTTTTTTTATTTCTCGTGTGATTAGTTTATGGCCGTTTTACACCTTCTTTGTTCGTTGTGTAATATTCCTAAAGGACCCTATACTCGTTCTCTGCAATGTTGATGTCTTTGTCTTTGTCCCCGCTACTGTGCTCACCCACCACAGATCTCCCTTGTAAAATAGCAGAGAAACTAGCTAAACAGGATCATCTCTGAAGAAAAAAAATCTAATAAATTCAAAACTGAAAGTCTTGAGAACGTCACAGGATCTTTACCATCTCCATGTCAATGCACCCACAGTAGTAACCAGAGCAGCCCTTGGAATCGAACCGTGATCCTCTGCAAGATGTGGCAATTGCGCGACCGCTCGGCCCATGGGACTCGCAACTGGCCACGTCAGGAGAATGACACCGCAATCCGAGGGGCAGGAAGAAGTGCGCAACGTGCGAGGCCGTGGCAAGTTGCAGCACGAGTGTTCAACGTTGCAGCACGCGAATTCAAGCGAATAAGGAGTGGCATCCGGGTAAACGGGGAGAGCATGCAGAGTGAGGGGGGGTCAAGGGTCGCACGGTTGGCTAATCCGACTTTTCCAAGAATCTCACAGAAAGATTCCTGGCGATGATGATACCGGAATTCGACCACAAACGTCTGCCTGTCACACACGCAACCACCTCATCCATTGAGACAACAGCCACACAACAAAAACCACGCACAACCGCCTGCCTGTCACACGCACACACGCCAACCGACGGAACAAGCGTGCACACGCATCAATCACAGTCATCATTAACCCCAACTAAGACGGTGGTCTGGGAAAGTGTTAAGTGAGCACCAATGCTGTCTCATCCATGTGCTCGGCTAATTGATTCGCAAGCAGGCGATTCGATGAGTGTCTCGAGCCTTAATAATCGATATTAAATCTATGCGTCGGTTCACTGATCCTGCATCAGGACACCATCACGTTTGACACTAGTTATTGCACTACAGCTCCAGCACAGGTCGAGTTAAAGGGATTTCCTGATCAAATGAGCAGCCCTGCGCCGGTGGTGAAAAATCCACATTCCTATGGCGAGGACGAGTCTATCCACAGGACAACCGCTGTTGATTTTCCGACAGAGTGATTATAGAATTATTTCCCCCTGAGGGAGGGAGGAATGATAGATGGGCAGAGTCAACCCCCCTTCACCACCACGAACCAGGATTTTGGACTCACAACCTTCAGCCGATTTCCCTGTGTAACTATGGTAGATTCTTACATTGAACAGTGAAGTGAATAACATCTAACTTTATTGTTAAAAAGTAGAAAAATAAGAATAGGTTTTACCCTTTCCGGCAACAATCAGGTGTCAAGATGTTCAGACACCAAATAGATACCTTTTGCAAGGCGTAGTCTGCATTAACCCACACATACGTGTGGCAAAACATGCATGTTTGACACCTTGAACAAGGTATCTATTTGGTATTTGAACATCTTAACACCTGTTTTATTGTCATGAAGGGTAACACCCTATTCTGATTTTTCATCATTTTGGATGTTGGCAAAAAAGGTCCCATAGATGTAACTTTATTATGTCTGTGTTTGTTAAACTTGAACACACGAATTGGTGAGCAATTACGGGGAATGTGACACGGGGCAGCCCCTCCCCCCGCCCCCCACTGGCGTCAACTTCCTCTACCTCGACTCTCGGTTTCTCCACACAAATGTAGCTCGACTTGAAATCACCCCAAAGAGCAAAAACAAAACTCGGCACACCCGTCAGTAACACTTACAACGAGCGAGTATATACCGGGCGACGTTTCGGGCAAGTGGGCCTTCGCAGCAGCAGCAGCACACTGAGAGGCCACACAGGAAGAAGAGGAGTGTTGTTGACACTATGTAGTCAACTACGGTAGGAGTCTGGGCTCCTTCAGTGGAGGAGGAACAGAAAAACTCCACGAATTCTCTCCTGAAGCCCTCTCGTTGTGGCTGGCAGACTTCCTGAATGTATTGCCGTCGTGCGCAAGATCGAATAGACACGGAATGTGTTCAAGTCTCCATGTTAATTTGTGCTCGTGCACCACTGTCCACCCAACAGCCGCAACGTCACGAGATCATTAGACAAATGTAAAGTGTGAGAGTCAACAGATGTGACTGCATTCGCCAACCTACCGAGTAAAAATACGTTTAGCACGTGGCAATGCCACCGCAGTGCACACATGTAACGAGTGATAGTGAACACATGTAACTCGTTACATGTAACGAATGATAGTGAACAATGTAACGAGTTACATGTAACGAGTGATAGTGAACAATGTAACGAGTTACATGTAACGAGTGATAGTGAACACATGTAACGAGTTACATGTAACGAGTGATAGTGAACAATGTAACGAGTTACATGTAACGAGTGATAGTGAACAATGTAACGAGTTACATGTAACGAGTGATAGTGAACACATGTAACTCGTTACATGTAACGAGTGATAGTGAACACATGTAACTCGTTACATGTAACGAGTGATAGTGAACAATGTAACGAGTTACATGTAACGAGTGATAGTGAACACATGTAACGAGTTACATGTAACGAGTGATAGTGAACAATGTAACGAGTTACATGTAACGAGTGATAGTGAACACATGTAACTCGTTACATGTAACGAGTGATAGTGAACACATGTAACTCGTTACATGTAACGAGTGATAGTGAACAATGTAACGAGTTACATGTAACGAGTGATAGTGAACCATGTAACGAGTTACATGTAACTCATTACATGTAACTCGTTATAAGTAACGAGGGGGGGGGGGTGCAGTGATGAGGCGGTTCAGGGATTCCTCAGTGGCCGGAGAATCGAGGCCCCCGATGAGTCACTGAGACCCCCTCCCCCAGCCCCCTGGTCCCCTCTGCTCCACAGAAGTTGTCATCGGGTCCCCTTTAGTGCCCCTCGGGGTCGTGTCCCCTCGGGGTCGGGTCCCCTCACGTCTCCTTTGGACCCCTCCCCAGACCCCTCGGGGTCTTAACCGGTCACCTTTAGCGATCCCAGGTGTCCTCGTGGTCCCCTGTCCACTCCACCCCGTACCTGGTCCCCTGTCTATCGTCCCCAGGTTCCCTTTCAGGCACCCCGGGTCCCCACTGGTCCTCGGTACCCTCTGGAAACCGCACAGTACACGGTACAACCCCCCCCTCCCCAGGTCTCCTCTCAGTCAACTCGGAGTATCTCCGATTCGCCTCAGAATCGGGACCCTCTAGCCCCCTTCCAGGTCCCCTGCAAGTCCCCGCTGGTCCCCGCGGGTCCCCGCGAGGTACCTGGTAGACGCGGCTCCACTCGCCCGTCACGTCGATCGCGCGGAATTCCCGCTCCATGGCGCAGGGAGGCGCCGCCGCCGCCGCCGGGCGGAGAGTCGACCTCGCGGAGCCCCAAATCCGCGGCTGCGGGGTCCCAGAGTCCCCATTGTGGGCCCCGTGGGGGGCCTCGTGGGGGGCCTCGTGGGGGGCCTCGTGGGGGGTCCCGTGGGGGGCTCCGTGGGGGGCCCCGTGGGGGGCCCCGTGGGGGTCCGGGTCCCGTTCCCGCACGGGGACGCGCGGCGCCGCCACCGCTTCCATAGCCGGCCTCAGCCCCCGCCGGGCCGTACTGCGCATGCGCGCGAGGGGGGGGGATGGGGGGGCTCCCCCCACACTCATCCCCCCCCAGCCCCGCCCCTTTCGTTCCGGGAATTGAGAGTAACTTAGTACTGAAGTCACCATGAGGGAGTGAGTGTGTGAGGGGTGAGTGTGAGGGGTGAGGGGTGAGTGTGTGAGGGGTGAGTGTGTGAGGTGAGGGGTGAGGGGTGTGTGTGAGGGGTGAGGGGGTGAGTGTGAGTGTGTGAGGGGTGAGTGAGGGGGGGAGGGGGTGAGGGGTGAGGGGGTGAGTGTGTGAGGGGTGAGGGGGTGAGTGTGTGAGGGGGTGAGTGTGTGAGGGGGTGAGTGTGTGAGGGGGTGAGTGTGTGAGGGGTGAGTGTGTGAGGGGGTGAGGGGTTAGGGGTGAGTGTGTGATGAGTGAGTGTGTGATGAGTGAGTGTGTGAGGGTTTAGGGGGGAGGGAGTGTGAGTGAGTGTGTGAGGGGTTAGGGTGTGAGTGTGTGATGAGTGAGTGTGTGAGGGATTAGGGGGTGAGTGAGTATGTGAGTGTGTGAGGGGTTAGGGGGTGAGTGATGTGAAGGGTTAGGGTGTGAGTGTGTGATGAGTGAGTGTGTGAGGGGTTAGGGGGTGAGTATGTGAGTGTGTGAGGGGTTAGGGGGTGAGGGGGTGAGTGTGTGAGGGGTTAGGGGGTGAGTGTGTGAGTGTGTGAGGGGTTAGGGGGTGAGTGTGAGGGAGGGAGTGTGAGGGAGGGGTTAGGGGTGAGTGTGTGTGAGGGAGTGTGTGAGTGTGTGAGGGAGTGTGAGGGGTTAGGTGTGAGTGTGATGAGTGAGTATGTGTGTGAGGGGTGAGTGTGTGAGGGGTTAGGGAGTGAGTGTGTGAGGGAGGGAGTGTGAGGGAGGGAGTGTGAGGGAGGGAGTGAGTGTGATGAGTGAGCGTGTGAGGGGTGAGGGATGTGTGAGTGTGAGTGAAGGGTTAGGGGGTGAGTGTGTGTGTAGGGTTAGGGTGTAAGTGTGTGAGGGGTTAGTGAGTGAGTGTGATGAGGGGTTAGGGGGTGCGTGTGTGAAGGAGTGAGTGTGTGAGTGTGAGGGAGGGAGTGTGTGAGGGAATGAGTGAGTGTGATGAGTGTGTGTGTGAGGGGTTAGGGAATGAGTGAGTGTGATGAGTGAGGGCTTAGGGGTGAGTGTGTGAGGGGTTAGGGGGTGAGTGTGTGAGTGTGTGAAGGAGTGTGTGAAGTGTTAGGGGGTGAGTGTGTGAGTGAGTGTGTGAGTGAGTGTGTGAGGGGTTAGGGGTGAGTGTGTGAGGGAACGAGTTAGTGTGATGGGGTTGGCACAGCTGGTGCATCTGCCAGTCACCTCAGATAATCCCATGGCACCTCTCTGGGTGTGTTCCGCTGTGGCGACGTCAGCATCACTTGGTGATGAACGGCGGTTGTTGTTTGAGTGCGGAGTGTGAGAGGGTTAGGGGGTGAGTGTGTGTGAGTGGGTGAGTGTGAGAGGGGTTAGGGGGTGAGTGTGAGAGTGAGTGGGTGAGTGTGAGAGGGGTTAGGGGTGAGTGTGTGAGTGGGTGAGTGTGAGGGGGGTTAGGGGGTGAGTGTGTGTGAGTGGGTGAGTGTGAGAGGGGTTAGGGGGTGAGTGTGTGTGAGTGGGTGAGTGTGAGAGGGGTTAGGGGGTGAGTGTGTGTGAGTGGGTGATTGTGAGATGGGTTAGGGGGTGAGTGTGTGTGAGTGGGTGAGTGTGAGAAGGGTTAGGGGGTGAGTGGGTGAGTGTGAGAAGGGTTAGGGGGTGAGTGTGTGTGAGTGGGTGAGTGTGAAAGGGGTTAGGGGTGAGTGTGTGTGAGTGGGTGAGTGTGAGAAGGGTTAGGGGGTGAGTGTGTGTGAGTGGGTGAGTGTGAGAGGGGTTAGGGGGTGAGTGTGTGTGAGTGGGTGAGTGTGAGAGGGGTTAGGGGGTGAGTGTGTGTGAGTGGGTGAGTGTGAGAGGGTTTAGGGGGTGAGTGTGTGTGAGTGGGTGAGTGTGTGTGAGTGGGTGAGTGTGAGAGGGGTTAGGGGGTGAGTGTGTGTGAGTGGGTGAGTGTGAGAAGGGTTAGGGGGTGAGTGTGTGTGAGTGGGTGAGTGTGAGAGGGGTTAGGGGGTGAGTGTGTGTGAGTGGGTGAGTGTGAGGGGGGTGAGTGTGTGTGAGTGGGTGAGTGTGAGAGGGGTTAGGGGGTGAGTGTGAGTGAGTGGGTGAGTGTGGGAGGGGTTAGGGGGTGAGTGTGAGTGAGTGGGTGAGTGTGAGGGGGGTGAGTGTGTGTGAGTGTGAGAGGGGTTAGGGGGTGAGTGTGTGTGAGTGGGTGAGTGTGAGAGGGTTTAGGGGGTGAGTGTGTGTGAGTGGGTGAGTGTGAGACGGTTTAGGGGGTGAGTGTGAGAGTGAGTGGGTGAGTGTGAGAGGGGTTAGGGGGTGAGTGTGTGTGAGTGGGTGAGTGTGAGAGGGGTTAGGGGGTGAGTGTGTGTGAGTGGGTGAGTGTGAGGGGGGTGAGTGTGTGTGAGTGGGTGAGTGTGAGAGGGGTTAGGGGGTGAGTGTGAGTGAGTGGGTGAGTGTGGGAGGGGTTAGGGGGTGAGTGTGAGTGAGTGGGTGAGTGTGAGGGGGGTGAGTGTGTGTGAGTGTGAGAGGGGTTAGGGGGTGAGTGTGAGTGAGTGGGTGAGTGTGAGGGGGGGAGTGTGTGTGAGTGTGAGAGGGGTTAGGGGGTGAGTGTGTGTGAGTGGGTGAGTGTGAGAGGGGTTAGGGGGTGAGTGTGTGAGTGAGTGGGTGATTGTGAGAGGGGTTAGGGGGTGAGTGTGTGTGAGTGGGTGAGTGTGGGAGGGGTTAGGGGGTGAGTGTGTGTGAGTGGGTGAGCGTGAGGGGGGTGAGTGTGTGTGTGAGTGTGAGAGGGGTTAGGGGGTGAGTGTGAGTGAGTGGGTGAGTGTGAGGGGGGTGAGTGTGTGTGAGTGTGGGAGGGGTTAGGGGGTGAGTGTGAGTGAGTGGGTGAGTGTGAGGGGGGTTAGGGGGTGAGTGTGTGTGAGTGGGTGAGTGTGAGGGGGGTGAGTGTGTGTGAGTGGGGTTAGGGGGTGAGTGGGTGAGTGAGTGGGTGAGTGTGAGAGGGGTTAGGGGGTGAGTGTGTGTGAGTGGGTGAGTGTGAGAGGGGTTAGGGGGTGAGTGTGTGAGTGAGTGGGTGATTGTGAGAGGGGTTAGGGGGTGAGTGTGTGTGAGTGGGTGAGTGTGGGAGGGGTTAGGGGGTGAGTGTGTGAGTGAGTGAGTGGGTGATTGTGAGAGGGGTTAAGGGGTGAGTGTGTGTGAGTGGGTGAGTGTGAGAGGGGTTAGGGGGTGAGTGTGTGTGAGTGGGTGATTGTGAGAGGGGTTAGGGGGTGAGTGTGTGTGAGTGGGTGAGTGTGAGAGGGGTTAGGGGGTGAGTGTGAGGGGGGTGAGTGTGTGTGAGTGGGTGAGTGTGAGAGGGGTTAGGGGGTGAGTGTGTGTGAGTGGGTGAGTGTGAGGGGGGTGAGTGTGGGTGAGTGTGAGAGGGGTTAGGGGGTGAGTGTGTGTGAGTGGATGAGTGTGAGAGGGGTTAGGGGGTGAGTGTGTGTGAGTGGGTGAGTGTGAGAGGGGTTAGGGGGTGAGTGTGAGAGTGAGTGGGTGAGTGTGAGAGGGGTTAGGGGTGAGTGTGTGTGAGTGGGTGAGTGTGAGAGGGGTTAGGGGGTGAGTGTGTGTGAGTGGGTGAGTGTGAGAGGGGTTAGGGGTGAGTGTGTGTGAGTGGGTGAGTGTGAGAGGGGTTAGGGGTGAGTGTGTGTGAGTGGGTGAGTGTGAGAGGGGTTAGGGGGTGAGTGTGTGTGAGTGGGTGAGTGAGAGGGGTTAGGGGGTGAGTGTGTGTGAGTGGGTGAGTGAGAGGGGTTAGGGGGTGAGTGTGTGTGAGTGGGTGAGTGTGAGAGGGGTTAGGGGGTGAGTGTGTGAGTGAGTGGGTGAGTGTGAGAGGGGTTAGGGGGTGAGTGTGTGAGTGAGTGGGTGAGTGTGAGAGGGGTGAGTGTGTGTGAGTGTGAGAGGGGTTAGGGGTGAGTGTGTGAGTGAGTGGGTGAGTGTGAGAGGGGTTAGGGGGTGAGTGTGTGTGAGTGGGTGAGTGTGAGAGGGGTTAGGGGGTGAGTGTGTGTGAGTGGGTGAGTGTGAGAGGGGTTAGGGGGTGAGTGTGTGTGAGTGGGTGAGTGTGTGAGGGGTTAGGGGGTGAGTGTGTGAGTGAGTGGGTGAGTGTGAGAGGGGTTAGGGGGTGAGTGTGTGAGTGGGTGAGTGTGAGAGGGGTTAGGGGTGAGTGTGAGTGGGTGAGTGTGAGAGGGGTTAGGGGGTGAGTGTGTGTGTGAGTGGGTGAGTGTGAGAGGGGTTAGGGGGTGAGTGTGAGTGAGTGGGTGAGTATGGGAGGGGTTAGGGGGTGAGTGTGAGTTAGTGGGTGATTGTGAGGGGGGTGAGTGTGTGTGAGTGTGAGAGGGGTTAGGGGGTGAGTGTGTGTGAGTGGGTGAGTGTGAGAGGGTTTAGGGGGTGAGTGTGTGTGAGTGGGTGAGTGTGAGACGGTTTAGGGGGTGAGTGTGAGAGTGAGTGGGTGGGTGTGGGAGGGGTTAGGGGGTGAGTGTGTGTGAGTGGGTGAGTGTGAGAGGGGTTAGGGGGTGAGTGTGTGTGAGTGGGTGAGTGTGAGGGGGGTGAGTGTGTGTGAGTGGGTGAGTGTGAGAGGGGTTAGGGGGTGAGTGTGAGTGAGTGGGTGAGTGTGGGAGGGGTTAGGGGGTGAGTGTGTGTGAGTGGGTGAGTGTGAGAGGGGTTAGGGGGTGAGTGTGTGAGTGAGTGGGTGAGTGTGAGAGGGGTTAGGGGGTGAGTGTGTGAGTGCGTGGGTGAGTGTGAGAGGGGTGAGTGTGTGTGAGTGTGAGAGGGGTTAGGGGGTGAGTGTGTGAGTGAGTGGGTGAGTGTGAGAGGGGTTAGGGGGTGAGTGTGTGTGAGTGGTGAGTGTGAGAGGGGTTAGGGGGTGAGTGTGTGTGAGTGGGTGAGTGTGAGGGGTTAGGGGGTGAGTGTGTGAGTGAGTGGGTGAGTGTGAGAGGGGTTAGGGGGTGAGTGTGGGAGTGTGTGAGTGGTGAGGAGAGGGGGTTAGGGGTGAGTGTGAGTGGGTGAGTGTGAGAGGGGTTAGGGGGTGAGTGTGTGTGTGAGTGGGTGAGTGTGAGGGGTTTAGGGGGGTGAGTGTGTGTGAGTGGGTGAGTGTGTGTGAGTGAGTGGGTGAGTGTGTGTGAGTGGGTGAGTGTGAGAGGGTTAGGGGTGAGTGTGTGTGAGTGGGTGAGTGTGAGAGGGGTTAGGGGGTGAGTGTGTGTGAGTGGGTGATTGTGAGAGGGGTTAGGGGGTGAGTGTGTGTGAGTGGGTGAGTGTGAGGGGTTAGGGGGTGAGTGTGTGAGTGGGTGAGTGTGAGAGGGGTTAGGGGGTGAGTGTGTGAGTGGGTGAGGTGTGAGAGGGGTTAGGGGTGAGTGTGAGTGGGTGAGTGTAAGAGGGGTTAGGGGGTGAGTGTGTGTGTGAGTGGGTGAGGGTGAGGGGTTAGGGGGTGAGTGTGTGTGAGTGGGTGAGTGTGTGTGAGTGAGTGGGTGAGTGTGTGTGAGTGGGTGAGTGTGAGAGGGGTTAGGGGTGAGTGTGTGTGAGTGGGTGAGTGTGAGAGGGGTTAGGGGGTGAGTGTGTGTGAGTGGGTGAGTGAGAGGGGTTAGGGGGGGAGTGTGTGTGAGAGGGGGAGTGAGAGGGGTTAGGGGGTGAGTGTGTGTGAGTGGGTGAGTGTGAGAGGGGTTAGGGGGTGAGTGTGTGAGTGAGTGGGTGAGTGTGAGAGGGGTTAGGGGGTGAGTGTGTGAGTGAGGGGGTGAGTGTGAGAGGGGTGAGTGTGTGTGAGTGTGAGAGGGGTTAGGGGGTGAGTGTGTGAGTGAGTGGGTGAGTGTGAGAGGGGTTAGGGGGTGAGTGTGTGTGAGTGGGTGAGTGTGAGAGGGGTTAGGGGGTGAGTGTGTGTGAGTGAGTGGGTGAGTGTGAGGGGTTAGGGGGTGAGTGTGTGAGTGAGTGGGTGAGTGTGAGAGGGGTTAGGGGGTGAGTGTGTGAGTGGGTGAGTGTGAGAGGGGTTAGGGGTGAGTGTGTGTGAGTGGGTGAGTGTGAGAGGGGTTAGGGGGTGAGTGTGTGTGTGAGTGGGTGAGTGTGAGGGGTTAGGGGGTGAGTGTGTGTGAGTGGGTGAGTGTGTGTGAGTGAGTGGGTGAGTGTGTGTGAGTGAGTGGGTGAGTGTGAGAGGGGTTAGGGGTGAGTGTGTGTGAGTGGGTGAGTGTGAGAGGGGTTAGGGGGTGAGTGTGTGTGTGAGTGGGTGAGTGTGAGGGGTTAGGGGGTGAGTGTGTGTGAGTGGGTGAGTGTGTGTGAGTGAGTGGGTGAGTGTGTGTGAGTGAGTGGGTGAGTGTGAGAGGGGTTAGGGGTGAGTGTGTGTGAGTGGGTGAGTGTGAGGGGGTAGGGGGGGAGTGTGTGAGTGAGTGGGTGAGTGTGAGAGGGGTTAGGGGGTGAGTGTGTGAGTGGGTGAGTGTGAGAGGGGTTAGGGGTGAGTGTGTGTGAGTGGGTGAGTGTGAGAGGGGTTAGGGGGTGAGTGTGTGTGAGTGGGTGAGTGTGTGTGAGTGAGTGGGTGAGTGTGTGTGAGTGAGTGGGTGAGTGTGAGAGGGGTTAGGGGTGAGTGTGTGTGAGTGGGTGAGTGTGAGAGGGGTTAGGGGGTGAGTGTGTGTGTGAGTGGGTGAGTGTGAGGGGTTAGGGGGTGAGTGTGTGTGAGTGGGTGAGTGTGTGTGAGTGAGTGGGTGAGTGTGTGTGAGTGAGTGGGTGAGTGTGAGAGGGGTTAGGGGTGAGTGTGTGTGAGTGGGTGAGTGTGAGGGGTTAGGGGGCGAGTGTGTGAGTGAGTGGGTGAGTGTGAGAGGGGTTAGGGGGTGAGTGTGTGAGTGGGTGAGTGTGAGAGGGGTTAGAGGTGAGTGTGTGTGAGTGGGTGAGTGTGAGAGGGGTTAGGGGGTGAGTGTGTGTGAGTGGGTGAGTGTGTGTGAGTGGGTGAGTGTGTGTGAGTGAGTGGGTGAATGTGAGAGGGGTTAGGGGTGAGTGTGGTGAGTGGGTGAGTGTGAGAGGGGTTAGGGGGTGAGTGTGTGTGTGAGTGGGTGAGTGTGAGGGGTTAGGGGGTGAGTGTGTGTGAGTGGGTGAGTGTGTGTGAGTGAGTGGGTGAGTGTGTGTGAGTGAGTGGGTGAGTGTGAGAGGGGTTAGGGGTGAGTGTGTGTGAGTGGGTGAGTGTGTGTGAGTGAGTGGGTGAGTGTGTGTGAGTGAGTGGGTGAGTGTGAGAGGGGTTAGGGGTGAGTGTGTGTGAGTGGGTGAGTGTGAGAGGGTTAGGGGGTGAGTGTGTGTGTGAGTGGGTGAGTGTGAGGGGTTAGGGGGTGAGTGTGTGTGAGTGGGTGAGTGTGTGTGAGTGAGTGGGTGAGTGTGTGTGAGTGAGTGGGTGAGTGTGAGAGGGGTTAGGGGTGAGTGTGTGTGAGTGGGTGAGTGTGAGAGGGGTTAGGGGGTGAGTGTGTGTGAGTGGGTGAGTGTGTGTGAGTGAGTGGGTGAGTGTGTGTGTGAGTGAGTGGGTGAGTGTGAGAGGGTTAGGGGTGAGTGTGTGTGAGTGGGTGAGTGTGAGAGGGGTTAGGGGGTGAGTGTGTGTGTGAGTGGGTGAGTGTGAGGGGTTAGGGGGTGAGTGTGTGTGAGTGGGTGAGTGTGTGTGAGTGAGTGGGTGAGTGTGTGTGAGTGAGTGGGTGAGTGTGAGAGGGGTAGGGGTGAGTGTGTGTGAGTGGGTGAGTGTGTGTGAGTGAGTGGGTGAGTGTGTGTGAGTGAGTGGGTGAGTGTGAGAGGGGTTAGGGGGTGAGTGTGTGTGAGTGGGTGAGTGTGTGTGAGTGAGTGGGTGAGTGTGTGTGAGTGAGTGGGTGAGTGTGAGAGGGGTTAGGGGTGAGTGTGTGTGAGTGGGTGAGTGTGAGAGGGGTTAGGGGGGTGAGTGTGTGTGTGAGTGGGTGAGTGTGAGGGGTTAGGGGGTGAGTGTGTGTGAGTGGGTGAGTGTGTGTGAGTGAGTGGGTGGGTGTGTGTGAGTGAGTGGGTGAGTGTGAGAGGGGTTAGGGGTGAGTGTGTGTGAGTGGGTGAGTGTGTGTGAGTGGGTGAGTGTGTGTGAGTGAGTGGGTGAGTGTGAGAGGGGTTAGGGGGTGAGTGTGTGTGAGTGGGTGAGTGTGTGTGAGTGAGTGGGTGTGTGTGAGTGAGTGGGTGAGTGTGAGAGGGGTTAGGGGTGAGTGTGTGTGAGTGGGTGAGTGTGTGTGAGTGAGTGGGTGAGTGTGTGTGAGTGAGTGGGTGAGTGTGAGAGGGGTTAGGGGGTGAGTGTGTGTGAGTGGGTGAGTGTGTGTGAGTGAGTGGGTGAGTGTGTGTGAGTGAGTGGGTGAGTGTGAGAGGGGTTAGGGGTGAGTGTGTGTGAGTGGGTGAGTGTGAGAGGGGTTAGGGGGTGAGTGTGTGTGAGTGGGTGAGTGTGGGAGGACGAGAGTTTAGGGTAGGGGGAGCATTAGTGTCGCGGTGATAACGGGCTACATGGTTATCTGAACCGGTCCTGAGCCTCCCATAGGTCGACTCAGCCTCAAATGAGTACCTGGTGCGGTGTTTAAACATCGCCACTCGGGAGACAAAGGCGTGGACAGCAACTTGCTCGAAAGCTATGTAACGGCACAGTTAGTGCATCTGTTAGTCATCTTAGTCAACCCATGGCACCTGGGTCTATATCCCGTGACCTGCCAGCGAGCCTGCGACACTTCACGTGGCCTCGGAGTGCACCTAGCCTGGCACAAGCGGCGTGACGACGGCTGCTGTTGTGTGAGATTATGAGAACGTGTCGTGTGAATTGTGTGTCTTGGTGCATAGATGCTCGCCACACCATCTCCTCGTGTGACGTTTTTACTTATTAACGAGTCATCCCGACCGACTCGAGCTTCCTGCGAGAGTTGTGTCCCAATTCGCGGTCTCTCCCGCACGTCCCGCGAGTTGGGCTGAACGCCACATACAGTAGAATGTAAATCATAGATGTGGCCACGCTCACGTTGACATTTTATAGACATTTTCTCAGGACCACGCGACCTTAATTCACCTTGGACTCGCCAGTTCCTGGGAAAGCCTCGCTCGCAAGGCTTCCTGGGGAAACTTCCCAGCCCGCGTGAGGTTTTACTACCTTGGGTTGTGACTCATTGGGAGAGGGTCGCCCAAGGTTCGTTCACCAATCCCACTCCACCACCGCAATGGCCCTTCTCTACAGCACATCAGTGAAGTCGATTTTCCATCCGCAGACGTGCGATGAAGAAGGGCCATTACCCGAAACGTCGCTTATGAAATACTTTTGTCCGTGTAAGGCCACAGCGATAGTGACACTGAACGTGCTTGTGCTTATGTAGTGTAGCACAGTCCCCGCTTGCACGCGTGGCCAAAGGCGATCGCGCGGAATCAAATCGACACAAGTTCATCGAACACCGATGAAGCGTTAAACGACAGTGATAACATTTGATCATCGAATTAATTTGGTTTGTATAATTTAGAGACAGCTAAGGTTGACGATAGACTAACGAATATTATTAAATCGATAGAGATTTACAAAAGAAGATGAATAAATCTAAGAAGCCTTTATTAAAATTCGATTTAAATATGAAGCCTTTATTAGTTGAATAAAGAAATCGAATCGATTGGGTATTTAACTTGGACGAATCGAGTCATCCTGGGCTAGGGCTGTGTAGCGTTAAGAATCGACGGAGGAAACGCGGGAATCGTGAATCGCGTGAATCGCGGAGTCGCTGCGCGCGCGGGTTTCGGTGTAGGCCGCGCGATGTATGCGGCGCGCAGCATCGCGGCGGAGCACAAAGACCTCATCCACGACGTCTCCTACGACTTCCACGGCCAGCGCCTCGCCACCTGCTCCAGCGACCAGAGCGTCAAGGCACGGCGAGCAGGGCGACGGCACATGCGGCGGGATCGGGTTGACCTGACCGCCCCGTGGTGGGACGGGGGGAGACGGGGTGGTGCTAGCGGCTCTGCGGGGTCTGGGTGCGATCCGGGGCGGCGGTGCCCGCTAGGCGATGCCGTAGGCCGCGAACCGCGTGAAGGGGAAAAAAAGCGCGCGTGTTTTGTTATAACAGGACGCCTGTGCCGATGTACACGTCCTGGAAGGCTTTAGTTTTCATGTAAAATGTGTTGTTGTTGGACGGACGAGTCGACACGTGTGAATGTGTGTGTGTGTAAACATTTATGGAACCACGTGAAAACGTAACATTCAAGTTGGTCTGCCTACGACGGCATCCTGGGTTTAAACCAGGCTGGGTCGTGTGAGGAGATCGCAGATCTTTGAAAGATTTGGACACAGAACCTGTCATCAGCGAGCTCCTCCGGCAGGCGAGGCTGTATTGGCTGGGTCATGAAGCCCGCATGCCCAAGCAGCATCTCTTTGGTCAGATAGAGGGGTCGAAACGGGCGCGGTACGGGCTAGAGAAGATACGGGATGGTGTGGTACAGAAATACCTGGAGCTTAGTGCACTTGCCGATGACTGGTTCCAGCGGTGTCAAGGTCGGACTCGATGGAGGAGGCTCGTGAAGGACGCTCGTGGGAAGTTTGAGGCAGTCGCCCTCCAGAAACAACGGAGGACAGATGACACTATCTGAAAGCATTATTACAATTACATTAATATAGAGGCCCTACAGTGTACACAATGCAGCTTCCCGCTATTATTCACAATCTCTCTTGGCCTCGATGTGCTATAAAGAAGGACCATTTAGGACGGTGTTATTGTCGAATCTGTATGCTTTTTATGATTCCTTCATGTTAAAGATCAGCCCACAGAAGTGGATATCACTTCGCTATTTCTGTGAGATCCCTGCAAGTGACCTTTGGTCTACAGAGTAGGGGGCAGCACTCTCCACCCCGGTGTGCATATGAGAGTAGTTTGCCACATGATGGTCAAACTTTAATCATTCTCACAACTGGAATTTAGTCACATTGAGTGCAGAACCAAATGTAATAAGAATGGGTTGTGTACAAGACTTGTTGGTTATCGGGCTGAGACAATAAACTTACATCAACTTAGTGCACGGAATCATAGCTCGCCACTGAGCCAACCAGCTACCTGTGACTCAGTAATGTTCTAACGGTGATGGCGCTGTCTTCCAGGTGTGGGATCGGAACGAGAGCGGAGAGTGGAAATGCACGGCAAGCTGGAAGGTACGTGTCTCTCGCTTCCCTGCTGGGGACAGATTAAAATAGGTCAACCTCAGCTGCAGGGTCAGGCAGACCTGTAGATGCCCCACGACTTTGTGTCTGCTACATTGTTATATGCCAACTGTTTGTGTATGTCTATAATCATGTCACTCAGAATGTACCTTATCTCAGCAGATCATGAAAGATAGGCAGTGCACCAAATTTAAATGTTATACTGTACATCTACACGCCCGCATCATAGCTCCCTACATTCACCCCTCACTGACCAGCATTGTGCAACTCTTCTTATCCCACAAGGCGTAGAGATCCCTTCATCCAGCACTGATTTGGCAAAGGCTATACATTCATTGTATTGTCTTTTTACCATAACCAGGTCTTAATTTCAGTCGGGACTGTCCAGTGTCAGATTTAGTGATACATTAAACCCTGGTCAAAAGCACCCATCATCATTACTCATTCCCATGAAAGAATCCCAGTTCACCAGAGATTGAGACAATAGTCGGGGAGACATTAAGCCCTGGTCGTGCTTGTTTGCTCCCAATTTTATCCTAATTGCAAAAACAACTGGTCAGCCAGCCTACCTGAACGATGCCATCTGCCCATATGTATCATCACAAAACCTGCACTCATCTGGTGTGGACCTGCTGCTGTTTGTGAAGTGCAGTAGAAATTAGTTTTTCATCTGTAGCCCCGGTTATCTTGCACAGTCTGTCAACTGAAGTCTGATCAGCTGGGACAATCTTTGCTTTTAAGACCAACTAAAAACATTTATTTTCTCTTTTATTTAATTCGGTAACATTTTCTCTGCACCAACCGTGCTTCAGCCTCCAATTTTTGCTGAATGTAGCGTGTTGCAAATCTTGGTTTGATTTTTTGATCGGCATTATTTCACGAGCCGAAGTATCCATTCGGATCTCTCGAAAGAGCCAAGCAGCCCTGACCACGTGGCAGTTTAACGGTGCGCGACGCGGTCTCTGACGCCACCACAGACGCACAGTGGCTCGGTGTGGCGCGTCACATGGGCGCACCCCGAGTTTGGGCAGCTCCTCGCCTCGTGCTCGTTCGACCGCACGGCCGTCGTGTGGGAGGAGATCGTCGGGGAGTCCAACGACCGGCAGCGCAGCCAGAGCCACTGGGTGAGTTGGCGGCGGTGGTGGGGGGGGGGGGGGGTGGGATCGGTGACTTGGGATAAACTCCAAACCCTACAAACTAATAACAGTCTTACCTCTTGATGGCACAACTGCCTGATTAACTGCAAACATCACCAATTGCATCCTGGTAAAAAAAAAATGCATCCTGGTAATTGATCTTCCAGGGAAAACTTAATAACCCTCAACCGCTGAAGCCAGGGAAGATGCGGCCACTTGCTTCACAAGTGGAACATGAGGAGCAGCCCAAATTGTGACTGTGGCCACCCAAATCAGACAATCGCCCACATACTGAACTCCTGCCCTGAGAGATCCATTCCCAGTGGCATCACAATCACTCTACCTCACCTGAAGCTTTTGAATGGATTGCTAACCTCGACATCAAACTATCACTGCTTCCCAAACCATATGAAGAAGAAGCGGTGGGGTGTGACGGTCGGTTTAAAATTCACAACTGCAGCCAATCGGTGTGACTCCGCACATATTCGTGGATTCGTATCGACTCTTGACGCACAATTCTGATATTTGCGATTCAGCGCAACACACGAGAGGACGTCTCCTGAGGACATGGAGTGATAAAATCAGCTTGTGTGTAAGTGCTGAGAGATGATCAAGGCTTGGGGAGACCTTAACCCATCAGTGGATTGATCATGGCTGATGGTGATCGTAGGAACCATAAACAAATTATATGAAAATTTATTTTTTAGGCCAATAGGGAGCTGCCTCTTGCGTATGTGACAGCCCTTCGCAGGCAGAAGTGGGGCTGGGGAAACAGGAAACCCATGGATTACGGGAAACCTGTGCGTGGGAAACCACAGCGCACGCCCATGGCACCTCCACTCGTGTTGTAATTTAAACGCGTCGAGCCCGCAAACACTGTTACATTCTGGCTCGTGGAGGCCCTCATCCAGCAGTGGATTGATCATGCTGATGACGATAGGAAGTTTTACAAATGATGCACTAAATGTCCTTTTAGGCAAAGAGAGGTGAACTGCGGCCCAGCAGGCGTGGGAGTTTCCGTGTGGTCTGCTGTGTGGCCAACCATCCATGTAGAGTGGGTCACTTGTTTTGTGTGGATATCGCTTTCATAGTGATAATAATGTTATCTTCAAATTTTAAATCCAGTTGATGGCTTCAGAAGATAGTGAGTGGGTGTCGCTTGTACCTTCCATAAACACTCGAGACGGGAGTTTATGCTGTGTCCGATTGTTTGCTGGGAGAGAGTTTTATTTTCCATTTCTGGAGAAGGTTACGTAAAGCACAGTTGCTGTTGTTATTTCAACTTTATATTTTGCACAGCTATCCTACTGTTGATACTGGCTTCATTTTGATTTCCGTACACTAATGTTGAAACCCTAAAAACCGTAAGGGTGCTTTAGTTCTTCCCTCTGATCCTTGGCCATTAACATTTTGAACCCATAGCGTGGATGGCCAGTGGGAGGTCGTTCGAGGCAGCGAGGGTGCAGCAGAGGAGAAGGAGCAACCTCTCCCTTTGGGAGAGCTGAAGCCTGACTGTTGTCTGCCTCAGGTGAAGCGAACCACGCTGGTGGACAGCCGCACCTCAGTGACGGACGTCAAGTTCGCTCCGAAGCACCTAGGTCTGGTACTGGCCTCTTGCTCTGCGGACGGGTTGGTGCGCGTGTACGAGGCGCCCGACGTCATGAACCTCAGCCAGTGGTCGTTGCAGCACGAGATCTCCTGCAAGCTCAGCTGCAGCTGCATCTCCTGGAACCCATCCAGGTGAGGAGGAGTAGAGGGGAGAAGGGGCAGGGTGGGGCGGTGGAGGTACCCCGTCCTCGAGTTAACGGGAACCGATTGCTGGGGATTTAACGATCGCCCCCTGCCCGTCTCCCCCTGGCTTGACTGATTCTATGAATTGTCGTGACATGGGGGCAGTGGTTTGGCTTGAGAGTGGATTTTCGTTTGTCTTGGTCATACCAATTCCTCACCTGTATCGCTCGACTCGGATGGTGTTGTCTGCTTTGTACTTTATGGCATCGTGTTTCTCATCTGTGCCGTCTCATTTGTATTGTTCTTCTAGAATGTTCTTTTTTTTTAAAGAGAGAGTTGGCCACATGTGCTAGTGGCATGGCCCAAATCAGAAACACTGATCCAAATGATTTCATTGGGAAAACCAATAGCAACATTGCCTGCTACAGGCAGAATAGTGCCCACTTGTTGGGCTGTGTTGCGTTAGCTGCCACTTTGGGCCCCCTAGGAGATAACTACAGCGGTGCGTTGGAATGATTGAGACGAGACGTAAGGCACTCTTGAGTTAGAGGCATTTTTAAGACATCCTTCGTGTTGCGCTTGATTCTGCTCCCCTGCCCCCTCCTCGCCGTGGTTACCTCCGCAGTTTCCGGGGACACCCGCCGATGCTGGCGGTGGGCAGCGATGACGGCTCCTCGTCGAGCGGAGGGAAGGTGCAGATCTACGAGTACAGCGAGAACACGAGGCACGTGGCGACGCGGCCAGGGCTCCACGGTGGACCGGGGGGGCGGGCGGCAGAGGAGCGGGTCGGGGGTGGATCGTTCAGTCTGCACAGTTGAGACAAGAGACCTGCGCGGTTTGAGATGGACGCCGATAATGAGACCGCGCGCTTGTGTACGCGCACGCACGGTCGCATACGCTTCCTGTTGAGGAGCCGGGCAACTGATAACCAGACAGCGAGTGGGGCAGCTACCAACCAAACACAGCGCGAGGGGGCAGCTACCAACAAAACTCAGCAAGTGGGGCAGCGCTTTACGGGTAGCAGGGCAGTGGAAACGGGAAGTAGGATTACGGGAAACCTGTGAGTGGTAAACCACAGTGCGTGCCGGTTCATAATTAAAATGCGGAAAGCCCGCAAGGATCGTTACGTTGCAGAGCCGTAGAGAGATTGAGGTCGGTTGGGGGGAGGCCTGCATCCAGCAGTGGATCGTGCATTGCTGATGGTGACGCAATGGAAGTTATCGCGATTTTAAGACACGGCGATGGACAGAGCGGTGGATAGAACACTGCAGGGAAATGGTTAACGGTCCCAGCGGCCCCAGCGTCCCCAGTAGATCAGTTTGTTCCCATCTCTTTGCTTGTCATGTGCCCCCTGCAAGACATATCAGCAGTTCTGTGCACCCCTATCCGCATGTGCGGTACTGAAAATAATCGACTGATTGGATTTCCACGTAATCAACACCAAAAACATTTTGTTAATACTTAATAACAACTAGCTATTCAAAGTATGTAGACCATGAAGCAGAGGGGCTAGGCTGAGGTTCACTGGATGTGGAAGCCTGGAGGCATTTTCTGACAGTAATTTCCTGCATAATTTTGTTCGTTTGTGAAATAAACATAGGGATTGTCATGATGGAAAGGAGAGAGAGCCCGCGCAAAACATGTGGAAGGCTGAGGCACGTCTTTGCTGCTGACTCTCCCCTTGACTGTACCCACCGTGACCCTACCCCCACGTGACTATACCCCACGTGACCACGGTCATTACTTGAATTGTCTCGCGTACCCCCTAAAATTATCAATCGTGCTCCCAGGGGCACGTGTACCACAGCGTGAGAGCCACTGAACTGCATTATCTTCATATGGTTGATGTAGAGCAATAGCTGTTTGTTTAATTGAGGTGGTACATCTGTTGCTACGGATGTGCAGCAGATGCGGTTTAGGGGTGGTGCCCCAGAATCTTTGTGGATGATGGAAGCTACGGATTTGCCGCGTCGTCCGGTGGTGAGGGATATTATTGAGATCCTGGAGAATGGGGAGATGCACGTTTCCCACGGCTTGCTGGACTTCCCGGAGGGATGTCGCATCGTGGCGACCCTGACCTGCGATGACCTATCAGAGCAGCAGCAGGCGCTTCCCCTTGCTTCCTGTGACTGTGACCGGAACCATCCGTGCTGACGATGCTGCCCTTTTTCTGCACTGACCCTCTCCCCCACTCCGCCTGTGACCCAGGAAGTACATGAAGGTGGAGACGTTGATGATGGTGACGGAGTCCGTGCACGATCTGGCGTTCGCCCCCAACCTCGGCCGCTCGTACCACCTGCTCACGGTCGCGTCGCGAGACGTGCGCATCTTCACACTCAAGCCACTACGGTACGAGGCGCAAGGTCAGCGGCACGGGTGGGGCGGGGACGGGGTCACGGGACGGAGCACGAGATCACGGGATGGCACACAGGCTCGCGGGACGTGATCACGGGCACGAGGTCACTTGGGTTTCGTGGGGTCACAGGGTGGAGTACGGGGTTGTGGGACGGGGCACAAGGTCATGGTGCTGGATCACGGAATGAAGCACAGAGAGACGGGGAGAAATGGTTACAGAGTACATGGGGATGAGTCCTAGACCTTTGAGACAGGACAGTGGAGGATAGGACAGTGGGGGAGAGAACGGAGAAACAGGACAGTGGGAGACAGGACATAGGAAGAGGGGACAGTGGGAGACGGGGCAGCGGGGGAGACGGGGGAGACTGGGAGGCGGGGCAGCGGGGGAGACGGGGCAGCGGGGGAGGCGGGGCAGCGGGAGAGACGGGGCAGCGAGGGTTGACGGGGGAGAGGGGAGGCGGGGCAGCGGGGGACGCAGGGGCAGCGGGGGAGGCGGGGGAGGCAGGGAGTCACGAGGCTGACGTAATTTATGTTCCATGCAGCTCGTTGTGCATCGGTCACCGACAGCCGCTGCTGCAGAAGACACATTTAGACGCCGCTTCTGGGAACTCGTTAGCGATGCGCGGCATGTCTGATGTTTGCTAATGTTCCTGTGCTTGTGTTCGGGTCGACAAGGCCTCACGACCCCGCACTGTTTACTCGAATCTGTTGAGGTTTATTTACTGGAAACGCCACTCGAACTATACTGGGAAATTTGAATTAATAGTTTTGAAAACTGGGAAATGCCCACGAAGGGTCCTGCTTCTGCGATGGCATGTTTGACAAATCCCATTCGTTTGGCGTCATGTGGGAGGAAACAAATCCAGGAGAAAACTCACCACGCATACTTATGAGGGGGGTCACACTCAAAAGCTCCGCACAGATGGATTCAAGAACTCGCTTGCCACACTGCCATCTTCTCGCAGCCCAGCAGCGGGTATTGGCAGTTTGGCAAATTTGCGTGTGATCCGTCAACCCTTGCCTTTCAAGTGCTGGGTCACAGGTGTGCGTCAACATGCCCGGTTCGAGAAGCGGAATGGGCGGGTTCGCACCTTTGGCTAAAGGTTGCTTATGTTTGATTTTGGGGTTGAAACGTCCGTATCGCTGCGGTTGATCACTTTGGGCAGGACACTCTGGACAGAGAGTGTTGAGACTCGGCGGGGTTCTCCCGAGCGAGCGAGCCGAGTTGGCACGTCGCGTGCCACGAGCCGTTTTGTCAAGATGCGAATCGGGAGTCCGGTTGCGTAAAACCCAAAACACCGTCGGCCAGGGTTTCTAAACCTCCGGTCCCGGCAACTGGCCACGTTTCCCAACCGCTCTCCTTGAAACACGAGTTACGTCCTTATACACTGCACCCGCCTGATGATTGCTTAAATGTGTCTCCACGCGACGAAGAGAGTGTTGATTCTAATTACGAGATGTGACGTGTGCATCGTGAGCCGATAGCTACTACTGTCGGTGTCTCGGTTCATATGCCCATCTAAAAAGTGGTCGTCAGAAAAGGTTTTCAAATGTCATTCTCATCGGGGCCCATGGTGTTAAGTGCAGTCTCCAAGCCTGATTGGATTTTCTATGTATGTGCTATAAAGAAGGGCGATTGCACGAAATTGTGCCTTTATATATTTATTTCCTTTCAAGACATAGTCTTTTCTCGAAAATGCGTTTTTGTTAAGTGGGCAGGATTGAAATCATTTTTAAATCGTCAATGGAGGGATGAATCGTCGGACGGATTGTTGGATCGAGGGATGGATCGTCGGATGGGAAGGGATGGATCGTTGGACGGAGGGATGGATCGTTGGATGGCGAGATGGATTGTTGAGTGGAGGGATGGATCGTCGGATGGGGAGGGATGGATCATTGGATGGATGGATCGTTGGATGGATGGACGGATCGTTTGGTGGATGGGTCGGTTCCGCAGGCGAGAGAGCAGCGCGGCGGGCGGCGTGAGCAAATTCGAGATTCGCTCGGCGGCGCAGTTTGAGGACCACAACTCGCAGGTTTGGCGCGTGAGCTGGAATATCACGGGCACCGTGCTGGCATCCTCCGGCGACGACGGCTGCGTGCGGCTCTGGAAGGGTGAGTGGCGCCGGAGCGGTGCGGCTCGGGTTGCTGCCCCTGAGGTATCGTAAAAAGAATAATAATAATAATGGGAAGTTGAGTGGTGGAAATTATAGTAAATATTATTATTCTAAAGTCCCGGGGAGACTTTCAGAATTCCCAGAACAGCAGAAAAAAAGGGGACATCCGAGGAAAACCAAGACAGGTGGCAACCTTCGCTTTTGTGTGTCTGTGTATCAGAAAAAACGCAATAGCGAGGAACGGTGGCGCAGTGGTTAGCAGACTGCACTGCGAACCCAAATCCCGACTTTAATTTGCAGCCACAGCTAACATCAGTAGTTACTTACTAAACTGGTCCATGAATATACAAGGGTTGACGCAGCCTTAAATGAGTACTTGGTGCGGTCGTATATAAACATCACCACTGGGGAGACAAAGCTGGCCGGGCGTGGTGCTGGCCACGCCACGTTTGCCGTGCCAGCCTTAATATCGTCCTCGCCAACAGCAATTGCCCCACCAAGCTGTAATGCTGCACGGGGGATCGTTGCTTGTCCCTGTTTACGTGAGCGCGTGTCTCTGTGCGCGAGCGAGTGAGCGAGTGCCCGCTCACCGTGTGCCCAAGCAGCTTCTGGTTTGTCCGGATAGAGGTGGAGGGGGCGCGGTCCGGGCTGGAGAGGAGACCGAGCCGAATGCGTTTCATGTTAACGCTCGATGCGGCGTTACGCCCCCTAATTCCCTCCTCTCCTCCGTCTCTCGCTATCCCACGCAGCCAACTACTTGGGCAACTGGAAGTGCATCGCGGTGCTCAAGGGAGACGGGAGCCCCGTGCCCGGCGCCGCGGGCCTCACCGGCGGCGCTCAGCTGCCCGCCCTGGCGGGGGCCGGGTTCCCCGGGGGGGCGGCCGCGGGGACGCCGGGCGGTGGAGTCAACGGGGCGGCCGTCGTGAGGTGAGACCTGGGGGGAGTGAGCTTGGCAGCCGCTCGAGGTGCACGCGTTCACTGGATTGGTTAAGCGTAGTGAACTCTGGACTTGACTCTTCGCTGACCTCAAAGCGTGGCAGTTCGCCGATTCGTGAGGGCAGAGAATCGTTACTGCTTGGGTATATGTGTGCCCGTTCGTGGTGGTGCGTGTGTCTTTGTCCATGTCTACTCAACCTTAAATGAGTACCTGTTGCGGTGTGCACATATTAACTCTGGGGAGGCAAAGGTGGCTGGGAGTGGTGCTGGCCACACTGCCCCCTCGTGTGTTGTTCCGGCCTTCATAGGTACTTGCTAACAGCACTTGCTCCAACAGTCTGTTAAGGCTATACGGTGGATCTTTGTCTGTGTGTATATCCATGTCTGCATGGGATGGTGCTCGTGTCTGACAGTGTGCTCGTGTTACCACGAGTTGGTTTGTATGTGGCCGTGTGTCACAGTGTGTGTACGTGTGACACACGGTGGCCTTAAACTCGTGTGACCCAACAAATGTTTCGTGGAAGTCATCGAGTCTGGCCTCGGTCAGAGAGCGAACGGTCGCAAACTGACATCGCTGCGCTACTCATCGCGTCCTTGCGTAACAACTCTGTTTAACCAATGGAGCAGCATGCGGTGCGTCGCGTGCGGGAGAGCGAACGGGAGAGTGAACGGGAGAGTGAGCGCGTGCAAGGCGTCGCGTGCGGGAGAGCGAACGGGAGAGTGAGCGCGTGCAAGGCGTCGTGTGCGGGAGAGCGAGCGAGCTGCGATCGCCCGTGTGTGACTGTGACGACTGTTGTGCACTAACAGCTAACAAGACCTCCTCCTGCCCGAGCCGTTTGCCCAACTACTCTGAGCGCCTGCGGGACCGAGCACCGCCCCTAACAAAACAACCGGAGCCCCCCCCCCCTCAACCCCAACACTGACCCTGCCCCCACGGAGGGAGCAGCTCTGTCTCATAACCCCCCGCCCCTCCCTCAACCCCCCCCCCCCCCCACCCGGGCAACTCTGACTCAATAATTGACTCATCCCAAGCACCGCTCTTGTCAAGGGGGCCGGATAAAATCCGTGGGAACAAACACGTAGCTGGCGTCTCACCCAGGAGTTAGGTGCACCGGTTTGCTCTCGGGGTGAACAAAAAACATTTCACGGTGGTAGTCGATCGGGCACGGGGAACCGTGGCAGTGTCCCCTTCCTTGGCCTCGGGAAGGCTCCTCGCTAGGCCTCTCCCCGGCCGCCCGCCATCCCGCTGGCGCCGGTGGCTGAGCGGAGAGGGGACGGCAGCGGTTGATGACCAGAGACTCCGTCCTCGTGTTGCGTACGCAACTCTACTCCTCCGCTCAGACCTCATCTCTTGTAAAAACATCATCACTGTAATCATCGTCGTCATCATTATCGTCGTAATTTTTAAGTTGTCCGTTAAGGGATGTTACGATTGACTCGCACTATCTTTCTTGAATGTACTTATTAAAGACAAAATCAAATAAAAGTTGCCATTGTGCACCTTTAAATTATATTCTGAATGCGTAGTGTTTGCCGACACCACCGCACCCCCACACGTAGTGCGTCAAGCATCACGCAGCGTGGGCCCGCGCGCCATTCCCTGCAACAGTTTACAAGTCCAACGCTGCTGGGAAACGCGAGCCCTGGGGGGTGGAGGAGGAGGTCCTTGGACGAGGACTGTGGAGGAGGTTCTGGGACGAGGAGGATGATGTGGAGGAGGTTTTGAGCTGGGCAGGTTAGAGGGGAGGTTCCGGGCCGGGAGTGGAGGAGGTGCCGAGACTTGCCGTGTGGATTTTACCCGGCCCCGTGTCCCCCAACGCTCGTGCTGCTGCTGACGTCACTGTGTCCACCCCCTGCCTGAGCTTGCCGTGCATGCTTCCCGTGTGTGCGTGCGCGTGCCGCGTCGCGCCCGTGCGTCGCGCGTCGTCTGCCGCCTGTTGTCGTGCCGACGGGCGCTAACGCAAGCACATGTGCTGCTTTGTTTGGCTGCATGCTGTCCCACAGGAGCGGGATCGTGAGACCGCCCTTTTCCCCTCCCCAACACCGCCAGCCCCTGCCTAAGAGCGAGCGCAACCTCGCGTATTACTAACGAGGTCGCCCACCCCACCCTCCCCTCACAGCTCTCCTCCTCGCACCGCCCTCCGCGCCATCCCTGGCCACACTCCAGATTCACACGGGCACCGCACGCGTGCGCACCCCCGTGTGGGCGGCACCAGCGTCTTGGCTCCCATGCAGAACCCCGTCTCCCAGAGGCTGGCACTAGGATAACCGCGGGCACCGATTGGCTGATAGAGGGATCGGGGATCGCTGGGGAAATCTTCAGTTGGCGCCAACTCCTCCGGTGCCGGACGCCGACGGTTCCCGAAGATGTGTCGATAGTCCCGGCGAAAGGGACGGCAGGAGGTGTAGTTGTGTGGGGGGCACCCGTGGGGATCACTACAGGGCCGGGGGGGGGGGGAGGTGGAAGAGGAGACGGTGCAAATAGAAAGAGGCTGGGGTCAGAGGTTAGGCCATCGTGACTGATATTTTTTTGCTCGGGAGTTTGCATTTTCCGACTGTTGTTTTGGTGACTGCCTAAAACTGCTGTTACAGTATTGACAAATATACTGTGAAACCTCACGTGTCAATGTAGTCTTTGGAGCAAATTAGTGAGCACCTATTAAATCCGGCATAACGCACAAAGGGGTGATGTTTTCAGCACCACACCCAGCCATTGCTGATGCTTATACCCCGCATGAGGTATTCATTTCGGGCTGAGTCGACATAAGGGTGGCCCAGGACTGGTTTACATGACAGTCACCGGCATTGGCCGGGAGTGGGAATCCAACTCGGATAACTGGGTTCTTGGTGCACCGTGCGAACCGGCACACTACTGCTCTGCTCAGGCACGCAAACCACACACGCACACCACACACGTACACCACACACGTACACGCTCACTTGCACGCACTCCCCACATGTACGCGCTCACTTGCACGCACTCCCCACGCGTACGCGTTCACGCACAGCCCGCTCGTGTCCGCACCTCTGCCCCGTGTTCGCCTCTCGCCTCACGTGCGGTGCCGCCCCCACGCGAGGGAGTGGAGTAAATTGTGATGAAGAGATAGGGACGGTTGGCTTGTGACGAGAACAATCTAAAACCTAACAATCTAAAACCTTAAGAAAATAATATTTTGGAGCCCACAAAGCGGGGGATTTCCATTTTACCATTTGTCCACCACAAGTTTGTCTCCGACAACGACATGCTCGGTGCTGTGTGTGTGTGTGCTTGGCGCTGTGTGTGTGTGCGCTGCTGTGTGTGTGTGTACGCTGCCCGTGTGGTCTGTGCTGCTTGTGCACTCTGCGTGCTGCCCCTGTGCTCTGCTCCTGCATTCTCTGCCCCATGCCCCCCTCTTCCCGCCCTCCTCTGCTGCCGACCCAGGTTCTTCCTGCCGCCCTGGGGGGAGCTGCCCCCCAGCGCCAGCTCTCGCTCCAGCTCCGTGCCACTCCCTCCAGGCCCCCCCCCCTCGCTCTCCGCGCTCCACGGCCGATACCTTTCCACCGCCTGGCGCCCGCAAAACCCGGCCGAATGACGCCTGTAGCCCTGTCGCTCGTCCCCTACTCGCCCACTCTCCCCCCCCCCCCACTCGCTCATCCTCCCGCTCGCTCATGCTCACCTACTCACTCGTCCTATTCACCCATTCGCTCATCCCCCTACTCTCTCACTCATCGTCCCGCTCACCCATTCTCCGACTCGCCCACTTAATCATCCTCCCACTCGCCCGCTTGTCCTCGCCCCCCCACCCGCTGGGTGATGCCTGCTATGCTTGCTGCGCGCTCGTCCCTGCGGGTTCCTCCTTGTGACCACGGATCCCAGGGAGGGATGGGTGGGTGGGTGGGTGGCGCTGCCACGGTGCGCACGACGGCCACAGCTCTCCCACGCTTGTCTGAGCCTTACCGCGTGGTCTTCGGCACCATGTCTGACGTTCTAGAAGAAGCTTCCAGCATGTGGAGCGAAACGTTGAACCAGGTGCCGAACAACGCGCGGTGGGACTCGGGAGAGGCGTGGGAGAGCTGTCCAGCTCGCCCGTGGAAACCTGCGCATTTGCGCAATAGTCCAGCGTCCCTCATTCGCAGACAATCTTCTGATTCATTCAGACGTCGTGCTCATTTTCATAACATTCAATCTGAGGTGGGCATGAGATAACTGTTATCCCCGTGTATGCATGGGCTTTCTCCAGGTTATATTATTATTCAGTCACTTATGTGATAAAACTATTTCACTTGTGTATCTGGGAAATCCTCACAGTCCCACGACTCTTTCCAGGAGGGTCCTGCCACTGTGACCCCGTGACGTCACGAGATCTTTAACGTCCACTTGTGAGTGGAGCGAAGCAGTGCACGGTTGTGTTTCCCGTCCATACCGCGGTATTAAACGGGGGCGACCACTCTCCCCGCACTGCGACCTGCGAGGAGTGGAGAGCGTGCCACTTTTAGGCCACGTCGCCACCGCTCCCCGCCAGAAGCCAAAATCTCATCATTGGAATTTGTCCAAAGATCCCAACGTGTCGGCACCCTCCTGACAAGTCTTGAGACTTGGCGAAGCCTTCCTGGATAAATTACGGCGTCGTCATTGTAATTATGCGCTAAAGTAGTGTTAGCGTTCTTTTGATTCCTAAAATTAATTCGTAAGTTTGAGATTCAATGTCGCTCCACGGGAAACTCTTGAGGTTCACGTTTGCAGGTTGAGCGACGCGTCAGCGGTCGGTCCATATCGACCTCGCGCGCACGGTAAACGCAGGGATCATGCGTGCTCAGAATTCACACTTTTGCTTCATACGTATTGCAAGTATTTTAGTCGCCTGACCCCTAAACCACTAGTGGCTGCTATATTCACAATGATAAAGAATTTTTTTTTTATGTAATCGTGACCATGCATCTATCGTTGACAAGGGATCAAATCGCCCCGAGCTCGCAACCATCAGCCAAACCACACTGCACACAACCACACTTCACACAATGAACCCACACGACACAAAACACCACATCGTGACTTTATGGGTGACAACTTCCCAATGACTCCCCCTTCCCTTGAGCTCCCTCACGAGCTGGACAGTAGCGGGCAGCAGCCAACAGCAGGGGGCAGCAGCCAACAGCAGCGGGCAGCAGGGGGCAGCAGCCAACAGCAGGGGGCAGCAGTCAACAGCAGGGGGCAGCAGCGGGCAGCAGCCAACAGCAGGGGCAGCAGTCAACAGCAGGGGGCAGCAGCCAACAGCAGGGGGCAGCAGCCAACAGCAGGGGGCAGCAGTCAACAGCAGGGGGCAGCAGTCAACAGCAGGGGGCAGCAGCCAACAGCAGGGGGCAGCAGCCAACAGCAGCGGGCAGCAGGGGGCAGCAGCGGGCAGCAGGGGGCAGCAGCGGGCAGCAGGGGGCAGCAGCCAACAGCAGGGGGCAGCAGCGGGCAGCAGCAACAGCAGGGGCAGCAGTCAACAGCAGGGGGCAGCAGTCAACAGCAGCGGGCAGCAGCCAACAGCAGGGGCAGCAGTCAACAGCAGGGGGCAGCAGTCAACAGCAGGGGGCAGCAGTCAACAGCAGGGGGCAGCAGCGGGCAGCAGCCAACAGCAGGGGGCAGCAGCGGGCAGCAGCCAACAGCAGGGGGCAGCAGCCAACAGCAGGGGGCAGCAGTCAACAGCAGCGGGCAGCAGTCAACAGCAGGGGGCAGGACACGACAGCAGGGGGCAGCAGTCAACAGCAGGGGGCAGGACACGACAGCAGGGGGCAGCAGTCAACAGCAGGGGGCAGCAGTCAACAGCAGGGGGCAGCAGTCAACAGCAGGGGGCAGGACACGACAGCAGGGGGCAGCAGTCAACAGCAGGGGGCAGCAGTCAACAGCAGCGGGCAGCAGCCAACAGCAGGGGGCAGGACACGACAGCAGGGGGCAGCAGTCAACAGCAGGGGGCAGGACACGACAGCAGGGGGCAGCAGTCAACAGCAGGGGGCAGGACACGACAGCAGGGGGCAGCAGTCAACAGCAGGGGGCAGGACACGACAGCAGGGGGCAGCAGTCAACAGCAGGGGGCAGGACACGACAGCAGGGGGCAGCAGTCAACAGCAGGGGGCAGCAGTCAACAGCAGGGGGCAGGACACCACAGTAGAGGGCAGCAGTCTGCGTCAGGTAAGTTTGGCCACGAGTGACCATGGGCCAAGTAGACGTCAACCACGCCATGCTCTACCCACTGCTGTAGGAAGGCCTCGCCGTGTGCGTCGGTCGCCACGACGTGAGCGGGCGGACCTCTGTGTGTGTGGGGGGGTGAGGGGGGGTGGCGACTTCTCTCCGCCTGTGCCCAAATGCGCCACGAGGGTCGTCCGTCCTTGGCGACTGTCGCCTCCGGCCCGACTCGTGGCGTCCCGCCTTGTCGAGACGACTCGGCGCGAGTGCGGTGGCAGCCGTCCCGCCGGGCAGTGGCGAATCGAATGGATGACGAAACGACGTTTCAGGGACCCCTCCTCCCTCCACGCGTGGAGCAGCGCAAACCCGCACGGCAGCCGACGGCGGCTTTCTGTCCGTGCGTGTCGCGTCACGGGTCGGTCACCAATAGAACCAGCAGATTCTTGTTTTTCCCGAGTTCTGTAGTAAACAAACAAAACCTCAGTATTTCAAGATCCGCAATGCACTGTGGTGATGGTGAATACGAGAGGGTGGATCCTTAATAAATAAATGAAAACGTCACGAAGCGGGCTGCGCTTTGTGGTCCGCGTGAACTCCGCCACTCGGGGGCGCTTTACATCCACGACGATGCACCACGATGCACACTCTTCTTTTAGTTGGACTCGTGTATGTTCCGTGTAGAACCTTTTCTTATTCCGAATATAGACAGGTATATGCCACCAGAGTGGCCACCTGCCAGGTGCCAACACCAATGTGATGTATCCTGGCGAAGTCGATTCTCTCATGACGAGAGCGGCAGAGAGTTGCGTGCCGC